ATTCATTTCTTCGGAGCTTGTATCGTATACGTACGTATCCTTCTAATACAGTACGTACGTATCCGTTGCAGGTGGTGGTCCTCCTCTATTGCTGTTTGAAAGAACAACACCTCTTCTCTTCACAAAAAACAACACTGCTAACAATGATCATGATTGCTAGACAACAAACCAATGAACTCCACATTCCTATTTTAGAAAAAAAAAAACAAGTGCAGTTGTTTTTTTGACCTATGTACTCGCTTAGTTTTTGAACCATATCATGGAAGTCGAGAAGAAAAAAATACTAGAATAGTTTTTTCTTGACTGAAATTGTTGATGGAAAGGGGAGTCTGAGGGGGTAGAAAACCTAAAAATCTGGTATGAAGTTTTTTTAACTTAGACCGGCGTAGTAAAAAATGAATGGCTGTTTTTAGACTATAAACTGTTTCTTCCAGAAAATAAACGGAGCCAATAGTCACTGTTTMTTTGAAAGATAACAGTTTCTTCCACAAATACATTTTATGCCACTGGATGATGACAGTTCAACTTCCACTTGAAGCAAACCGCAAAAGACCTAATTAAGTACAACTACTTGCGTTAGCCAACCAATCAATTACTAGTATCAATTAAGGTTCAAGTTTTGAGAGGAGGTGACGGACAAAGGTTTGACGATCATTTCGAAAGCCAAGCCTGCGGTCAGATGAACATTCTCTATCCCAAAAACTTGATGTCACGAAGGAACAACAAACCGCATGTTGAACTGAGTGGGAGGCTTGGTCCTGAACAGCTAGTCCTAGTTGATTCTGGCACGTCAAAGTCGTCGCGCTACAACTAAACTCTTTTCGAAACAAACGCAACAATGATTCGGAAGAACGTAAATTCTCTGGTTCAGCGCCATTTCATGCCAAAGGGTGGCAATAGCCGTTTTGTCTCCCCGGCGTCTTGGGCAATATGTGACTCGAGGACGGGGAAAGACGATCATCATCGTCAGCAGCAACAGCAATGTGCAAGAATGACACCTTTCGCTATTGGTACGTCAATCCCAACGGTGTATGGTGGAGAAGTAGTAACAAACAACTCGACGCCCCAGCGAAGATTTCTTTCGACCAGCGACTCTTCAACCTCTTCCTCGGCATCGTCATCGGCAGACCAAGGAGCTAATTTCGAGGATACCATGGACAAAATTTTCACCCAATCGCAAAAAGTAGCGGCAACCGAAGGTGATAAATGGTTTGTGGACGAAGCTCTCACCCAAGAAGTCTGGGATCCGAAATGGTGGAACTTTGCCGACCACGCCGTGAGTGCGGTCACTTTCGTGAACGATACATCGGGATTCGGGATGGCTGCATCGATTTTGATTGTTACGTGCTCCGTCCGTGCCCTCATATTGCCCCTTGCAATCCGTGGACAGAGAGCTAGCTCGCGCATGGCTCACCTGCAGCCGGAATTAGCCATGCTCAAAAAACGGTACGAGGCCCTCGGGACCCCGTCGCAGGCCGAACAGCAAGCCTTTGCGAAAAACATGCAAGCCTTGTTCAAACGATACGAAGTGACCCCTTTTGCCGCCTTAGCAACACCATTAATTCAGGCTCCAATGTTCATTGGAATGTTCTTTGGAATGAAAAAATTGCCCGATCTCTTTCCCGAGGCGTGCGCCAACGGTGGTTTATGGTGGTTCACTGATTTGACCGTACCTGATCCTACGTACATTCTTCCGATTGCGTGCGGGATCTCTTTCATTGCCACTATCGAGTCGGGAAAAGATCAAATGATTGATTCCAATCCACAGCATGGTCCAGTGATTGTCAACGCTTTTCGGGCAATGGCGGTGGTTATGATACCCGTGATAACCTCCTTCCCGGCAGCAATGGTACGTACGATAAGCATTTTCTAGGAACCGAACCTACTTCATTACTTTACGTTTCATTTTGCAAGCTACCATTTTGCCTGACGATACTGATGCCAATATTTTATTCAGCTTTGTTACTGGGTGCCCAATAACTTTATCACTATGGTCCAATCCATCACCCTCCGAAATGATTGGGTTAAGCAACAATTCGGTATTTGGGATCGTCCAAAGCCCCTGCCTGGCCAGGAGAATGACGCAGGATTTCAAGATACCATGGAAAAGCTTGTAAAACAAGTCAAAGGAGAACCAACAACAGAAAAGGAAAAAATCGAGCGTCACAACAAAGAGATTGAGACTCGAAAAAGGGTTCAAAAAGCGAGCAAAATTGCACGAGCAAATCGAAGACAATAAGAATATCTTTTTGAGACTGGAATTTGGAACTTTCCTTTTCTCCCACACCAAAACATATGGAACGCACTCTGTCTCACATTGCAGTAACCATCTCCGATTGGTGTGGTTATGATTATTAGTATCGTTATCGTAAGGTCGTTATCAATTGAAGGAAATTCCACCTACTAGTTCTTCACGAGGAGATCGAAGAAAATTATGACGCATTTACGTTACTATCCATTTGTGGTACGGTACTTCGACTATAATTGTAAGAAATTAATCCGGTTGCCCATACTTACATTGACGTGAGATAAACATCATGCCAACTGTCTCATAGAACACAAGTCCAGTCGATTCCATCTATTTCTTGGGGGAGATATTCTAACATGCGATACCATAAACTGGGCATCGTAGTTTCCCTACATTGGTGACTGGTCTCAGGCTTTTGGGTCGCAGATGGCAGGAGAGACTGCAGCTGCATGGTGCTGTGAAAAGAGCAACAGTGCCTAAGAGGAACTGCCATCTTAACAGCTGACAAACCTGATGTTAACCATTATTTTGTTCTTTTTTTATTAGACGGAAAGGTGAGACCACTTTGTAGTACTAATGTCTTCTCTGATTGCCAACATGAAAGTCCATTCATTTGAATGTCTCCTTCCCTAAAAGCCTGGGCATTTACAATGTTTACTTAGAAAAGACTATTGGTCATCATGATGTAATTGAATTGATGGTTACCAGCAGTAGCAAGTAACTACCATTTGTTTGTAACTCTGGTATAGTTGCTTCGACCTTTACAACCATCACCACCACTACTACTATGAATGTATTATCAATACTTACCACTACTATTGTTGTGTGAAAGAATCTTTCAAAATGACCATAGACATGATAGATGTTTGAATTTAGCAAAATTTAATTATCTCATCTACTACAATGAAGAATGTGCAAGTCAATTCTCATCTACAACCCCTATGTAGTATCAGCAGTACTCCTTTTATAGTAGTTCTGACATTATGCTACTAGAAGTACTAGTATGATTGGTATACTAGCTAATACTACTACAAAGCATCAACTTGTGACATTGCATCAGACACATTGATGTACTCCTACTAGTAAGCTAATACTAGTACTCCTGGAAGCACATACAAATACAAGTAGCACCATTAGGTAGTAGTACCATCACTGATTTTATTCACCAGTGATACTAGTACTAACAATTGTCATTACTAGTAGTCTGGTAGATACTCCTGAGGATGTTGTTCTTAACAGAATTGATTTGCAGTATCTTTGACTTGATAATTCCATGAATCATTGAAATGAATGATACATTGATTTGTTGGGATCAAATTTGTCATGCCTTGCAATCAATTTAATTTTGTGCTGATTTAGTAGTAGTAGCTTCTTCTTCATTATCTCTGAGAGCCATTCTTGACCAAAAAACAATGACAATTGATTCATCATTATGCATTCTTAGAATAATCATACACTTCCTCCCACATTTTTTAGAAAAAAATGTGTCCTGTTTATAGAAAGTAGAATTAGTAATAACAAGGTTACATATATGGAGGTAACAACTACTAGTAGTAGATTGGCCCATGAACAATCCTCATACAATAACTAGTACTAGTACTTAGACAAAGAAGGCAATGCATCAAGCTGGAATGCTTGTTTACAAAGGATCCAAAGCCTGTGCTTACAAGCACTGGATGCCAAAGCACAAGCTTGCAATCGTAAAGGCCAACATGGAGATGAAATGGCACCCAGCAACAAAGGCAAGGGAAGCAGCACAGTTAATAAAGCAAAAACAAATCAATCCAGGCCTTGGATGGAAGATGCAGATTGTAATGGACACCTCTGCACCTCCCCCTCAAGCCCCTGAGTCCCCTCTGCCTGAAATAATTGATGATCCATCCCCCCAAGTACAGTTTGTCCTCAATGTCTAACAAGAATTTTCATGTACTCAGTGCTATCTTTCAACTCTTCATTGCTTGGAGGCTTCCAGGTAGTCCTATCTCTCAGTCTTTTGTCATTCCATACTCTAGAAAAGTAGTTGATCCTTCCAAGCCCAAACCATTCATAGTTGTGGTAGTTGCTGTGACAAGACTTCCGGATGGGATCTCCATAGAATCCCTCATCTTTGAATTGCTTGCAGTGACACACAGAGGGACTATGCACAGGTTGCACATACTGTAAATATTTCCACCAGCACACATGTAGCAGATATATTTATTCTTTGACTTTGTAGGCAGAATTTCCTTCAGATGATTTGCGTACTCAGTCTGAGTAAAGCAAAATCTTCCATTTGCCTTGTACTCCACAAATGTCTGCAAATTGTGATATCCAAGCTACTTTCCATTCTTGAGGAAAGTCTTTGAGGCTTTCCTCCTAGTGGCCCGATTCTTTTGTGTTGCTTTTATACACTGCCTAAGCCTAGCATCACAGTTGTATGTCTTCTCCACTGGATCATATTTAATTATCTGCAAAGCAAGTCTTTGGCAGAACTCATGGTAGCTCATAATGTTGCTTAGCTTCTATTCATCAGCAAGGCTTCCATCAGTGCACTCTTTGTACTAGATATCATATAATGTAGCAGTGGCCAAGGCTTTTGCATGATTAGTTGCAGCATGGTAGTATTTCCACAATTTGTATCTGATGTTGGCCCTGGAGATGTATGCATCAATATGGTCAAGTTTTCCACAAGTATAAAGATAAATCTTGAGAGACTCATTCATTTCATGCCCTATTGCTGCTTTTCTGTTACCCTTCTCCTTTCCTTGTGATGAATGTAAAGAGAGGAAGATGAAATAGAGTTCACTGATCCTAAATTGCACGTTCCAGTGCTTTGGAATGAACAATGCACTCTTCTGTAGGCTTTGGTTCCTTTGTCAGGATCAGTTAGTACAGTTTTCAAAGCAGTGATAGGCTTAGCAAGACATGACGTCTTTGCTCTTCATTTCCAGTTGGAAGCCCCAGCAGCTTTCCTCTTATGAAAGTACTTCCCCAGAACCTTTGCGGGTAATCTGTTCTTAGCAAGAGTGCCCATCATACCCAACTCTTGCTCAGCCATCCAATTCAAGATGGAATCTGATAGAAAGAAATTGTCAGCTATGATGTGGGGTGGGGACATCCACAGCTTGTCCAATCTAATCTTAGGAAGAACAAATTTTTCAACATGGTGGTGCACTTCAGAAGGGCCAGTGCACAAATGCCAGTCATCACTTGATTCCCATCCATGATATCAATGTTTCCATGCCCTCCAGCTGATGCAATCAACATCAGACATGAGTACTGTTTGTCTGCCTCTTGTAATCATCTTTCCTTTGAGATAGTTAACAAGTGGACCACCAAAGCCTTGATATGGCCAGCTTGTCTTGTCAATACATTGGTCTAAGCCAGTCCATTCAGTGAAATAATTTGTATTGTTGACAATAGTCTCATATATGTAGTCAAATTTGTAAGCTGCAATAGGAAGTAGCAGCTGATAGAAGAAGAACACATCTCCATTTCCAATGAGGTGTTTTGTGAGCCCATGCTGCTGGAGCTTGAAGATATCTAGCTTCCCCTTCCTCTCATCCAGAAACATGTTATCTCTAGTAGCAAACTTCCTTGCAAACTGGTTGTTAGGATCTTCCACAGCAGTACCATCCCACCAAAGGTAATGAAACTGCCAACTTTTTCCTCCCTGATGGGTTCCTTGCCAAGTCCAGCTAAGTGTTTAAAAATTTCAACAGGCTTGCACTTTCAACAGGCTTGCACTCAGAAGTAAGAAAGTGACCTTTGTACTTCTCCATACCTGCTTCAAACTTGGGTCTGTAGTAATCTGGATGCCAACCATGGGGATTGTCAACATTATAAGGAAACAAAAAGAAACTTTTTTAGTGTGGATTTGTGTAAATCATGGTATACCATTTTTTGCAAATAAATTAGTACTGCAACGGATACGTACGTATATGTACATACCATACCAAAATATGTATACTTAAAATACAGATAACAGATATGGAAGAACGGATACAATCAAACATACCATTTGTATCTAGGTATCATATAGTACCATTCCTATCTATGTATCATATGATCCATCATACCAAGGAATCTAAGAGGTCTGAGAGGTCTAAGATACGAGGTACGAGGTATGCTGACGTCGCATCCATAAAAGAACTATGATGTCACGAGTCAAGAATAGAAAGAATCCCATGTAGATCTAGTACCACAATTTACATAGGGATCTAATCGGAACCCACAAACTCACACCTGTTAACATGTAATAACAAAGTGACACTTTAGATACTAAATGATAACATAATATCATTCAATATATTCATTTATAACACATTACTACACTTGATGGTTGAAGTTACTCCAATGCTCTTTACATACAGCAATATTGCAACTTCTGCAACCATTCCTTGCTGACATTTTAATACTAGTAATCCATGGCAACGTGTTCCTCAATCTCCTCACTGACGAGTTAGGATACCTATGCTTTGCTTCTTCTACACACACAACACAATAGTTCCTCTTTACTCCTTCATACTTGCCACTGCATCTTTCTTTATGTGGCTTTGGCATTACCTTTCTATGAGCAATGGTGCTGGTCTTCTTGTTCACACAGAAGAAACAAATCCCGCAATTGGAAGGGTGATATTTTCCATTCTTTGAAGTCTGAGGCATCTGGCTTAGAACCTTCATCATATGGAGCATTTCAGTCCATTTCACTACCTCTACTATTCATCAATACAATGCCAAGATGAGATTGAAACTTTTTCCTACTGTTGTGTTTTGATTTGTGTATCTTCCATTTCTTCATAAACTCGTCACATGCTAGGCTACTGACAATTGTGTAGCAGGAGTATACTACTCTATCAAGCAACCAGAAGAAAATACAAAGGTACTATCTGATACCCATCTGTATTCTTCATATAGCTTGGTCACAACTTTCATTGTAGTGTAGAAGTTGTCCATGAACAGTCAACGGCCATTATCATGTTGTCCAAGATTGATTGACATACCAACTGCTGAATAATATGTAGACCCACTACTAATACCAGTGTAGATCTCAAATGCAATTAAGTACCCAGTGTGCCTTAATACCATACTTGATTGGCTTCTTTGGAAGATACTGGACAAATCAAATGGATCGACTAAATGTAGAACACTCTTTTGTTTGTTGGGATTGGTACATTACAGAGCTTGAGCATCTTTGTCTTCTTTACCCTTCTATTTGCATCAGTAGCTTCAACTTCTGTCACCCAATCTTCAAACCCATACTGGTTGGACTCATTTGCTATCATCTGAAGAATTTTTTCATCAAACAATGACAAGAACAAATGCGCCAACCCCTCCACCTTATTTGTGCAGCCATCCAATGAGTTGCTTACAGCCCAGGTGGGACCTGGGGTCGTACCTCCTCCAGGTGATGTATACTGGACATTGGGAAGAGGATACCATTCCTCTGCATCATCACCAAGTTTCCAAGCTTCATTTTGTATTACTGTCAATTCCTCCTCCTGCCTCAACCAGTTCAGCTCCTTCACTGACCAGATACTCTCAATTGTCAAAATCAAAATTGATTGCTTCATATCCATGTACTTTGAAAAGTCATCACAGGCTATTACTTTTGTTGCCTGGGCTTTACAATCTTCCAAAGAATTATGTGCATTTGTAAGCTCTTCACCTGTGACATGTATACAGTAGAGAGACATAGATTTCCAAAGAATTATGTGCATTTGTAAGCNAGAATTATGTGCATTTGTAAGCTCTTCACCTGTGACATGTATACAGTAGAGAGACATAGATTTCCAAAGAATTATGTGCATTTGTAAGCTCTTCAACTGTGATATGTTTATAGACAGCAGAGAGACGTAGATCTGGAAGCTTGGACTTGGATGGATTCAAGGGACACCGAGCATACTTTTTGATGATCAGGTATGGGTCCATGGTCATCTTGGGACGAGGGGCTCCCACTATGAGGGTGCAGGCAACCACCACTGTTGTTGGATAGGTCTGCATCACTAGTACTAGTATGACCATAGTATGAACAATTACTATCATCCATCAGAAAAATAATCATCATCATCCATCTTGGTGATATGATTATTTTATGTTGGTAAATATGGTGGTTTGGGTGATATTTTATATTCTGGTTTGGAGTGTTTTATACCTTCTTGGTTGGATATTATGAGGAGAGAAATGAATGAGCAGAAAAGGTGTTTTATACAAAGTAATTGTTTAAAACTCTTTTTGGTATTTCAGTCTTATTTTTGTAGGATTTGTACTGCAGTCTACACAGATGAAAATAATGGAAACTCAAAAAAAAATTCCAAAAAATGCATGATTTGGGCGGAGACGGGAAAATGTTAAAACTTTTTGCTCTCTGGCAAGACTGTGTGCAATTGTTATGAAACTTGTAGTAGTACTCAGTTGAAAGTCTTGGAGCACGGGCAAGACTCTGTGCAATTGTCACGGAACTCATACGGGGCCCTCCGGTACCCACGCACACATCCCCCTTTTCGAATTCCTCCCATAGAAAAACGTGGGTTATTTTTGGTGAAAAATAACCCACATTTTAGAATCATGGGTTACTTCATGGGAAGAATAACCCACGTTTCTAAAAAGTGTTTTTTTTATTTAAAAAATACCCCACGAAAGAACCCAGGAACCCACAAATAACCCATGAAAGAACCCACAAATAACCCACAAATTTATAGTCATCTGGGTTGATGGAGAACCAAGGATGTTAAGTATTTTAGTCATTAACAATATTATTTAATCACTGTTTTTAATTTTTGGAAAAAGGCCCAGCAGGTTTGTGAGTTTTTTGCGGGTTATTCATGGTTTATTTCATGGGTTATTTGTGGGGTAACCCAGGAACCCAGGAACCCAAGTTTTAAAACATGGGTTATTTTGTGTGAAAAATAACCCACATTTTAGAATCATGGGTTACTACATGGGAAAAATAACCCCACGAAATCATACCCCCAATACAGTATTAGATTTCAAAGGGGGGACGCGCGCGCGTTGGTTCCGGAGGGCCCGGTAGGAACTTGAAAAATCTCAAGAATCCTTTCTCAAAAACAGCAGTCGAATTCAAATGTCTCAATAAAAGCAACAAACTATCGATCGACTATCTTAATTTTGTCACCCATCTTGCATGAATCGAAAAGAGATACGACGATGTCACCACTTCTACCTCATAGCCAAGATCCGGCCTTGTTGGAATCTTTTCGATACGTCAATTCTATGCCAGGGAAAAATGTGCGGGGAAAAATGATCGATTGCTTCCAACTATGGTTGGCCATCGACGAGTCTTCCGAGCTCAAAGTACTCGACTCCGTGAAAGAAATCATAGGTGACCTTCACAACGCGTCCCTTATGATTGATGACATCGAAGATAATTCCAAATTGCGCCGGGGAGTTCCAGTCGCTCACTCTATTTTCGGTGTCGCTACCACAATCAACACCGCAAACTATGCCTACTTTCTTGCATTGGAAAAATGCCATGCGCTACAAAATCCACAAGCGATGACCGTATTCGTAGGAGAACTCCTTAATCTACACAGGGGACAAGGGCACGATATCATGTGGCGAGAGAACGGAACATGTCCCACGGAAGAGGAATATCTAAAAATGGTTAAAGACAAAACAGGGGGGCTTTTCCGCCTTGCGGTAGGTGAGTAAAATTGCGGGTACACGACCTATGCAATGAGGTTTTTGCACTATTTACAACAACGGCTCATCCTTGGCAACGTCTTTCAACCTTATTGTTTGTCCAATCTGGTAGGTCTCATGCAGGCCTTTGCAACTACAAATCTCCGTACCGATTATACAGCTCTGGTGAACAATCTCGCTGTTTACTTTCAAATTCGAGATGATTTCATCAATTTGGTTGACGAAGAATACATGAAATCAAAGAGTTTTTGTGAGGACTTGACAGAGGGAAAATTTTCTTTTCCGGTGATTCATTGTATCTGGAGTTTTCCGGAAGACCATCGATTGTCATCGATTTTGAAACAAAGGACTGACGACACCGACGTAAAACGGTACGCGCAACAAATAATGGTCGAATCGGGTAGCTTACAGTACACGAGAGAAAAATGTACGAGCCTAAAGCGTGAAATCACAACGGAAATCGAGAGGCTTGGAGGAAACCCTCCTCTCATGCAACTCGTGGAATTACTTGATATCCAAATTCATGAGATGAATTCTGTGAAGTTATGACGGTAGAAGAATTTAAATTCGAAAGCAATTAAATGGTTCATGTAGAGACTAATACAAAGTAAATAACATGGAGATCCAAAATCAGGTATAGCAACAGGAAAATTATCCTGCAGAGAAGTATCATTATCATTTCTTTATTTGGTTTTTCGTCATATTCACCATCACACTTGTACCCGAAACGTTCAATCGACGCTATATAAGACCAGTCATCATTTTTTTCCAGCCTTCACATTTGAAGGAACAAGAAAGCTTCGAGGAGCAGTTTTGGGCTTAACAGGCGTTTCTTTTGGAGTAGTAGAGTCTTCAGGTGTGGGAACAGAATTTTGCTGTTCCTTCTTCGCGGGTGTTGTAGACCCAAGAGGAGGAAACTCTTCTTCCGAAACAGCCACGTTTGAAGAATGATTTCTCGCTGCATAATTGATAGAAGTACTTGATTTACCCCCATTCGTTACTGGATACGGCTGGACATTGGGAAGCTGCTGTGTCATCATCGGCATTGTTGACAGGGGCATTCCGGGATGTCCTACGATTGGCATTGGTTGTCCCACGTAAAAATTTGGAGCCATCATTGCCATTGGTGGCGGCGGATACCCCATGTGCATTCCTTGCGGAGGCACCATCTGCGGAGGTGGAGGCTGTGGAATATTTTTCGTAGAAGGCTGCTCTGGTTCATCTTCACCCTCAATCGTGTAGGCGAAATTGAAGGAAGACCCTCCCGATGCTGTGGCCGGCATCTGCTGCACAGGTCGTTGTTGCTTCGCCATGAGCTGCAGAAGCTGATCTGCGGCTGAGGGCGGCACTGGCGGCGGCGGCGGAAAACTGTTGCTCATTCCACCGTGGGGTGGCGGAACAGGGTTCATGCTGCTCGACCCGACCTTTAGGACGGCTTTTAAACTTGCAGTAGGATCATTGGCTACGGGAGTGGCGACTTGCAGGACTGGTGGTACTGCTTTTGAGTCGACTCCTAGCATAGCCTTCAAGTGTTGTGCTGGGCTAGGAGTGACACCCAACATGGCCTTCAATTCGTTGGATTTGCCTTTGGATGCACTTTTCTTCTTTTCTCCATTGATCAATGCCCTCCATCGATTAACTCCACTCTTTCCCTTTCTCTTTCCCTTGAAGCCGATGCCTTTATCCGGGGGACCAACAGCCTCGCGCCATCCAGCTTGCTTAGCTCTACCACTTGACTCAGCTCGTGATTTTCCAGACGAAACTGCTCTAATTCTACCAGTCGATCCATGTCGACCTGGAGAGGCTCCAATAGGGTACTTGTTTTTGATGATGGCAGGATTGGGATCGTTCATTACCTGAGCTTCGATTCCAGACAAAATTTTTTGAGCATTTGCTCTCCCTGATCCTTTTGTGACATGTTTCTCAGTAATTTCCTTATTGTTTTCGACAGTAATCCTCATCAAATGTGCCCACACTGCAAGCTTCCCTCTAAAATTGGAGCAAAGTCCCTGCAAAGTTGTTCCACCCACGAATTCTTCATCCATCACGATCTCAACACAACCTGTTGTAGCCTTGTGGATAGCAACAACAGTCCCTCTTGCACCAAATGGAATTCCGGTTGCACAAAGATTTACTACTCGGTCTCCAAGTTCTGGAGCTTTGCTTTCATTGTGATCACTGGCTAACATAACATCTGTCGCACTCACAGAGTTTTCACGAAACAAAGCAGTACCAGGGATCTTGATCAAGGATTCATTTGGGAACCCTTTTTTCCTCAACTGCAGATTGCGGATGTCTGTTGTTTTTTCTACGGCAGTTACCGCTTCTTGAGGCATCACCTGAGTAGAAATAGGGATCCTCGGTAACTTCGCGCTTTCGTTATTGTTCAACCATTCCCTTATTTTAGGGAGTACTTCTACTCCATTTGGACCGAAGACCTTATTTGCGTCATATTTCTTTTCGCTCGAAAGTTTTCCAAGCGCGCTAAAAAGCTGAGGAAATAGCTGGCGATACTCATTGATAAGACGGAGTGCCTTGGGGGTATACTCCCACTGAATTCTTTCCGTTTTGGCGTCTTTGCCATTGCTATCACCCAAAGCTCTCGCGCTACCAATGACCAAGAGAGAATCTCCCGTATCCCATGCCTTCTTTTCGTCTTTATATTCTCTGTCGATTTTCTTTTCTCGTGTATAACCAGCGACACATAGCCCTTCGTGTGATTTGAGATTCAATCCAAGATCGTAATTTCCTTGAATAAATGGAAGCGAGCTGGTAATTCGACCGAAAACCATTGGGTTGATTTTCAATATCCGAGATGCATCAGAAGAAGAAACGAAGGATTCGTTGATGGACCTTGCTAGCGCTAAACCAAATGGAACTTCAGGTGGGACAGTAAGCACCTTGACACCGACTTTCTTACCGTCAGCGATGCCAACTACTTGGCCGACATTTCCCTTGTATTTTCCTTGCGTCAAGACGACGCTTGAGTCGCAAGGGAAGCGTTGTTCAAGAGTCATCGGACCGCGTTCTACAAAGCGTGGGTCAGGCGCAGGTGCTTGCCACAAAGCCAATTGCAAAGGTACCTCGGCTTCCTCTTTTCCAAAAAACTTTTTTCTCGACCCATTTGATGGGTTCGTTTTCATTCCTTGCAATGGTAACAACCGCAATCGGATTTTTACTTGTTGAATCTGGATTCCACCAGATCCGGGGACATTGATACCACCCAAATAATTCTGTACCATCTCTTCTGATTCTCTAGCCCATTGATCTTGCTCCATTTTGTTCCATTTCTTCAGTTTTTTCTTTCCCTTGAAAAGGTAGACCTCACCCTTTTCATCAGAGATTGCACATACTTTTGCTTCATGCATCATAGGCCAATTGATGAAGAGCGACCTATTCAAAAGATTGTCGGCTAGTGTTTCCACAGGAGGCATATCAGGCATTTGATGGAGATCAAGAACCATTGTAGGATACTTGGATGGGAATCCAAAGCATTTCACTCCAATTGGTGTAAGTTCTGCGGAAGTGATGGGTAAGACATTAAGTGACGGAAAGCCGGGATAGGGAATTTGGGTTCCTTCAATAAGTTTTGGATTGAACGAAACTCCTTCCGCGTCGTATTGTGGCAAAATGGTAACTCGGGAATTGCACTTGACGATATCAGTCAGACCAATACCTTTATGCGGGGCCTCAACCGTATCGTTGACCGTGGCATCAAAAGTGTACAGGAATATATCTCCCACTCGATTGCGATTCCTTTCTGCATCAGACAACATATCGTCTGGGGCATTTTTCTTTATAGTATCCAACAAAAGATTAATTTCGATGAATGGGAGTAAGTTTACACCTTCCCATGGATTCTTCTTTCCGTTCATATCAACTTCGAAATCGGTAGGATAAAATTGTTTAATAGGAGATTCTGGCGATGTCATCAAAATCCTGTATGGCTTTGGTACTAGTGATGCTGATGCTGGTGGAAGACAGGACATGAGCTGTTGGAAAGGAAGGATAGGCTTGCCAACAGTGAACTTTATCTTTTCGAACATTTCCGGCAAGTTTCGTAAGTCACTCAACATGGGTCCATAATGATACGGAAAAAACCATCCCCAGGAAATACAACCACGATAGTAATACGCTAGGCACCATATCAGTCCTTCCATGTAAGCTTGGCGCAATGCATGATGGCCGCTCACATCAACAGGTGTTAACTTCAGCTTTTCGAAGTAGTAACGGCCTTTAAAATCCTTTTCACCGGGTCCGACAGGATTCCAGCCATCTACAAATTCCCTATTTTCTTGATTTCCCATTATGTTTTGTATCATATTCAAATAGTTTCCTTGCTTTGCGTCATCTGCTGCCTTGAGTTCTGCATCAGATGGTCCAGCATCCAAGCCGTCTCGTTTATTCCACCTACGTTTCTTTTTCAAATACTGTGCATCAGTGACTTCGCGATTCTCCAGCGTTTCAGTTTCAACATTTCCGATAGTAGCGAGGTACGTTTCCAAGCGTGCCGAATCTGAAATATTACCATTTTCTGTCAAATATTCCCCTTCTCCCCATTGAGAACGTTGATCCCTGTAAACTTGGAATAGGAGGTCGAAGGCTCCTTCTCCAATATCAAGTGTGTTCAAATGAGGTAAAAAATCGTTTCTACAGCGTGCAAAAATGAATCAAAATTCGAAATAGGATCGTTATTAGATTGTGAGTCATACCTGAACGAAAAGAAAAAACGTCTTCGTTTGAGTGAAAGAAAAATTCCGTTTCTCATGCGGTACGCACCCTACCAAAAATGTCATGAAGACAAAATCATCAATAGTTCTTTCGAGATCAAGCGTTCCAGGGGGAGCATCCTTGCAGAATTCCAAATAAAGATATTCTCGCAGAACTGATAAATGCAAGAGTTGAAAATCCGCTTCCTTGGTTTGTTTCTTAACCATTTTCAAGGCATTCTTATTGGAAAAGCCACCTCCGAAATCAACAACTTCTCGTAGAATCGTAAAGTGAGGTTCGTGGGTAACCAAACCAAGCATAATCAGATCGGCATCTTGTCCATAGATACAGTGACGATTGTTGGGTTGATAGTTTGGTTCGTTCTTCATCATTCGGATGTGTTCCATAATTTTGTGCTCACCCTCGCCAGGAAGCTCATGGCCACTGAAGATGACTTTCAAATCGCGCCAAAGGGGGTCCTCCTTGATTTTCTTTCTAATAAAGTATTTGATAGTTTCTGACACACGTGCCATAAACTCAGTTCCCGGAGTGATGCAATTTGAATCGAAAAGATCCGGCTTCTTGATGTTCCCCGCATCGTCCCGTTCTTTGGGTAGATCTTTTGTTGCCTCCGCCATGTCCTTTGCTGATCGAAATCGACGCGATCGTTGTTGATTGAGTTTCGCTCGGGGAGCCACTCCATCAATGGCCATGTACACCGATACGCGTGGTTTCACAATCTGGGTGATAATCCGGTCCAAATAGTGCATAATCCCCAGCATCATGTCACGTTCCGAAATGACGTCGGAAATGTCCATGTGGCTTGGATGGGTACAACCGTGAATGATTCCGTTCATATCAAGATACAAGTGGTCAAATTCAGGTAAAAGGGCAGAATCGGAAACAATTTCATTGATCTTGGTGTATCGCTCACTGATCCATCGGTAAAACTGGAGTAACGCAATGTGTATGGTATGACATGAAAATATTTTAGTCAAAATTAGAGATATGCACGCATGATCACATCACAGAGAAGATTTTTCCACAAATGGACGAGGGTATGCGATCAAATGCTACTTTGTGATCAGATTCTGGCTTCAACCTATGGCGTTGTAGCAGACACTCCATGTTGACATCTTTGGTCTGTTGGCTGACATACCTTGGGAACTCCCATTTTGTTGGGCTTATTGATAAGAACTATGTGATATACTGATGCAGCGATTTATTGTTGGAATCACAGGCACTGGAACTATGATCTGACGTTGATTTTTCAGTTGTCGGCGATCGGTGTCAACAGCAATGGTCGCAACAAAGCTCAATGATCTACTGTAATATGACAAGTGGTTTTCAGAGATAATTATTACTACTTCGTATTTCATCATCAGCTTTTGAATTCTAGCGTTATTACTTGCCGAGTATCGTACGTAGCGTGCCTTGTACAAAACCGAACAAACGGTAGGAAAAACAGAAGAAGGTCATCGAGGGCACTTGGTGATAAAGATAGCGAGGTTTCGTACTCGAGAGTACGTATCACAAAAGAGGGGTGGGTTTGTTGTTTGTTGGGATTATTTCCCCATCAACGGATTAGGTCTTCGGCGGTGCACAGCAAGTGGAAGTCAAATGACTTGTTCTTGGTCACTGATTATGTGCAACCAGTCTAATGAATAGGCATATCAGCAACTCATCAATGCCACTACTAGCTAGTTGTATCAACTAGTGGTGGCTACTCCATCGCCTTGTTGGCTACTACTAGTAGGTAGTACTACTACTAGTAAGAACCACCATTGTTATGGCTTGTTCTTGTTCTTTCTCCTCCCTGCCTCTACTAGTAGTAATAGTATTACTGCACTGTTACTACAACTACTACCTGCCAATTCAATGACAAAGAAGAGGAGTCCATGGCAGTATTGTGCATAACAAGGAAGAGGATTCCAAAGATGGCAACAGGAGCATCTCTGGTTTCAATAACAGTCAAGATTGCTCGTCACCTCCTTGATGTTGGCACCAAGGACAGTGATGAGAACAGAGAGGAAGGAGAACTAGTAGAGGCATTCAAAAAATTTAAAGATAACACAGGGCTACACCAGAGGAAGCTTTGTGCTCAAAAAAGATGAACAAGAACATGCTGTTTCCCCCTACTACAATTGTACAAAGAGGAACTTCTTTTAGTGCATCCAGGGAATGGTCCTGATGTTGCTGATTTGTCATCCAAAGTCTCCAGTTGGCAAAGTTTCACATGGAAGGATCTATAGGTCAAAAAGCAAGAGCCTCAGGTTTGGAAGGATGTGGACAATCCAGGAAGAAGATGAACTCATTCCACTAGCACAGACCTGCATTCAACAAGACCACTGGAAAGAAGCACCAGTATGAAGGGCACCAAGTCCCATCCAGAAGATTGCCTGTTCCTCCATCAAATACGCCAAGAGGACTCAGGTCTTGAATCAGTTCAAACAGCGCATCACTGCAATGGTCAGGACTTTTAGTACACTGAGTGAAGTGTCATTGAGACTGATCCTCTAGTGGTTCACTTTTGTCAAAAGCATATCAAAGAAGAGGAGGATTTCTTATTCCTGAAGAGGAGGGAGAGGAAGCTGGACATTTGAAAGCTCCAGGAGCAGGGTGGACTTACCACCAGGGAAAGATAATCTGTGGTAATACCTTCTCTTTTGTTTACCTCCTCCTTGTTCCACCTCCTGGTAGTGCTCTTCCATGAGTGCACTACTAGGATCTCTTCTAGCTCACAATGTTAACTCTGTTTTCAAGTTTTTTGACTCACCGCCTGGCTCAGATCAAACTTGATGAACAGGAGGAGCTACACAATTAAATTGTGCGTTGAGTCAGTTGATTAGTAGTATGTCCTACTACTACTATCACCAACAAGGATGCAAAGGGTTTAAATCTAACCAAAATAACAAATTCAGTATTCTTTATAGTAGATAGTCTAATAACTCTGTTGCTTATTCCTAAGTTGTTCTCATTCATCTGGTAGTAGTTGTTTATCTGCTTCTTTCTTTGCTTTGTTGTTTCATGAGCACCATTTAAGGGCCTTCAAGGAGCATGCTCCACAGTTGCATAGTAGAGTGGCAAGTCATCCCTATTATTGTCTTAATCAAAGTCTGATAATTTTCACCCTAGTCCTTGTCATCAATGAGTACTACAAGCAATTGGACTTTCAAAACCTGCGGGACAAACTGTTCTGAAAGTGCTTCTGCCATGCTTCAAGATGTAGTCATGGTTGCTTCTTTATCTTGAGATCAAAAAGATACAAACACATCCTATTGAATACCACAAAGTAATTTTTTAGGACAGTGTAACGCCTAATCCAGCACTATAATACTGTGTTTTGAACTCAATCAATGATATTATTGGTGGCATAAAAATGTTAAGTATAATTGCTAAACGATATGGCTGATGCAATGTACAAAGTTGTCTATGTACTATGTCAAAAAGAGAGAAGGAACCATCAAACATCCATTCCTCCTTTTCAATTGAGATCTTTGTCCAGAATATCTGTGTACGCTTTTGGGCAAGAACTTTCCCTGATTTTAAATTGAACTCCAATCTGTTCTTCCTCCATGCCTTCTAAGAGCTTACGAGCAAATGTCATAGCAATCCCTGACACTGCATGAAGCGACTGTGTTTCATTTCGAAAAAGGGAAACAAAAGGCGCAAAGAAATAGTCAGTTTGCTACCAAATTGAAAGAAGATCTCTCCATCGTAGTATGCGGGAAAGGCGAGTGATAGTATTTCATAGGGGTCAGCATTCACGAATTGATCTTTCGATTTGGCATAAACATACCTGCATCTCACCAAGGCGAAGTTGGGCAGCGGTCCAAGTACTATTGCCGAATGCATTTTCTTTGTTCAACTGACGCACAGTTTCAAATTCTTGCTTCATTTTGACCGGAGTGTATTGCATGAGTGCTGAAGCAGTCATTCGTCCAAGGTACTTGAGACTTCGGTATTCCAAAGCTTTGTTTCCCTCCATCTCAGGAACGACAAAATCCTTATTTTCCAGGTTATCCTCAAGGATTTGTATGGCTCTCCCGTCGTAATCTTCTTCGTTCAAAACTATCAATCGACAGGTGTTCATTAATTTGATTAGATTTACTTGAACGTTAGAAGGATTGAATTTAGGAGGTTCTTCCGAAATTAGCAAGTTTATCGATTCTCGCGGTCGTGATCTTGGTTTTCTTGGCTGGAGTGTTGCGATCCACGAGGATGGGTCGTTCGCCATTCTAATGAGGTGCATCAGTTTCAGTCGTTTTAGTTTGAATGCTTCTGGATGCAGATCTTTTTGGATGCAGTCATCGTAGCCATCGTCCATTGTCAAATATCGTTTCATTTCCTTTCTTTGATGATTGAGAGTTTCGTCCATTAAAGATTGAGTTTCACTTTCGTCATCTTTGCCATTCATGACAACATTCGGCATGAGAGAAAAATCTTCTCCCATTAGTATATCGAATGGTCGATGGAAGAGCGCCATTGATGCCTGAGTATAACCACTTCCATCTCCGTTTACAAATCCAAACTTTGCAAATAGATGCGAATCACTGTATTTCCCATAAGAATTGATCAATTCGTATTGCGGAGAAATTTTTGACTTGGCGGAAATCACAAATGCCTGCTTTTCCGAATCATATGTATACAAAACATTGGGGCGTGGGTGCGAATCAAGCGTGTCCAAAATTGGAACCATCGCATGGCACCCGTCTTCAAAGGTACTTTTCGATGATCGCATGCCCCAAGTAGATTTAACACGTTCTAGATCATCTGGTCTAAAATATTTTTCTACCTCTGCTTTACATGCGTCGGGACCAGGACTGAAGCTACGACTCAGCACATGAATGCGAGCGACCTGGTACTCTTCCAAGGTAATTTGTTGGCCAAATCCTTTTGGCGACACAATGGCCATTGCCTTATATTCTGATTCTACCATTACTTTGTACATAATGATCACTGCAAAGTTCAGTGAATGAGGTGTGAGCATGCTTTTGAGGTCAGATTGGCTTACGAGAATAGGATGGTAAGCACTTAGTTCTTCCCAGCTTGGTAAGGATTGCAAATACGATTCGCGAAGTTCATCTTTCGACGCATTAGCACTGGCCGCCATCTCCAGATTTTGTTGTCTATTCGATCTCTCCGTAAGGCGCTTCCGTTCATGGGCTAGGTATGCCGCCAAAAAAGCCCCGCCCGCAAGAGGGTTCCCAGTCTGCTCGTGCCGGGCTTTCAACAGATTTTCGGATTCGACGAAATCACTCCGCAGGGCATCGATTTCCCAGATTTGAAACTCTCTTGGTACCTCGACAAGCGTGTCCCCCCGACGGATGGGTCGAGTCCCAGCCACAGAAGCCTGGAAGGTTCGTCTCGTCGCCTCGATCTTGCCGTTCCCACACCATGCCTTGTTAGTCGATGGATCAACGCTGCTCGAAGTTCCATTTTTGTCGCAAGCTATTTCCAAAAAATCTGCGAACGATGGATCGATCGCCAAGTCGKGATTTAGAACGCTTTTAGAAGTGGTTGGTGTATTCCTTTTGTTCAATACCAAACCCAAGACAATTGCTACTGCAAGCACGGCAGCACCGTGGATTGTAATCTTATTGATGCCACTACCACTCTTCTTTTTGGTTCCTTTTCTCCTGTTCAACTTCAAGTTGGTTCTACGAACCGAATCTTCTCTCACGTTCCTTTCTTTGTTGCCAGCCATGGTACTGTTGCAGCAGTGCAAACGACTATCTTTGACGGCATCAAGCCCTATGCCTTCTTCATTTTTTGTACCGTTCGTTTTCAAGGCAATTCCAACACCGCATGACTTCAAAGCAAAAGAGGAAATGTACGGTACTGTACGTACGTAGCGGTACTACGGTATGTTTGAGGGATCCTGAAAAAAGATTCTCATTTCTCATTTCAATTTCAAAATGCGAACAGCGCAAGCAAGACAAGGAGGAGAGGAGAGGGAGGTAGAAGTTGTGTAACACCGTCGTTTAACGCTCATACCGTACCGTACGTACTATACGTACCCATACTGTAGTTATTAAAGTACTACTTTAGTATTTTTCAGAAACCCTCCGGAATCACAGCTTTCGTGAGTCGCGAGGCAGGTTCTTTGATTCGTTCAAAATTACCGATACATCAGTCCCTAATCCTAAATTATTGGTGTACAATAGCTCGAACCCTACAGTAAATGACCGTACCGGCTTACTATTTACTAAATCATCTCTGTAGGACAGACAACCTTATCAAAATTCTGGAAACCGGTTAGACGTCCTTCATCACACCTCGAAGCTCCAACGCAAACGGCCTACCTAGAAATAACCTTTTCTCTCCTTTGACCATACCGAGAAAATAAGACCAGCAAGATGGTAGGTTTGTGATGTGATGATGGCGACGCAAACAAGAAATAAAGAATGGATTCAAGCAGGATATCGCAACTAGATGTCACCAGTTAGTTCATCAGCGCAGCCTTGGATCCAAGTTGTTGGGCGAGATGGGTAGCATTCATTCATGAGCATTCTGTACAGATTATCATGATGTTACCACCCATGTGGACGTTCTGATGGCAGAACTCCATGCTGCCAAAAATTCCCCACGTAGTGAAGCATTTACGGGGTGAATCACTAGCGCCAAGCTTGGTCGTTCGGAGCATTGTGATTTTTTTAACGTGATGGTCGTTGTCTGACACGAATTCACTCGTTTGTCTTTCTTACCACCACAGACTAAGGGTACCACTTCATTCGGAAAGCGACACAACAAGTCGCACACCACTTGTCGTCGATGCGGAAAGGTTTCTTTCCACATCCAAAAGTCGACTTGCTCGTCGTGCGGATACCCCTCCAAGAAGATGAGACAGTACAACTGGGGACAGAAGGCTAAGGGTCGCCGCACAACAGGAACTGGCCGCATGCGATACATGAAGACCATGACCCGTAAATTCAAGAATGGATTCAGAGAAGGAACGCAAGCCAAGAAGCAAACCGCTTAGATTAATTTGATTAGAGATGATTAAGTTATAATGAAAACCCCCCCTCCCCCGATTCTTTTTTAATGAATTTTTGATTGATGTCTCAGTTAAATGAAAGTAAACCACCAATGTACACCTCACGGTACACCAGTAGAAAATACAACTCATACCAGGTATCTAGTCACATATGTAGAAGTAGAGCCTTCATGGATGACGAACTGAAACTGATTAAAAATTGGCTGTGTTTCTGGCCAGCGTCAGCAAAGCGTTGCTTGCCTCTGTCTCCAACACTCGTCTGTTACCCAGTATTTTCCATACTTGCCTCATAGTAAACAACCACTGGAGAGTGTCACACAAGATGGGCTGGTCTTTGACGCATACTCMAAGAAGAAACGACATAAACCCCCCGCATCACCACAGATTTCTTTGGCCTCTGCCGCAACCAAACGTACCATTCAAACTAATATGAACAAATATTTCACATAGTTCCCGAGCCCAACCAATAACCTTGTCACACTTCCACTAAACTCCTCGGAGGGAAGCGCCGCCCCTCGGTGTGACTAGAAGCATACTCTCCACCAAAAGCTATGGCATTTGCAGTGTTGTCCACGTTCATTTCCCTCAGGTGCAAGTACGAGGATGAAATCTAGTGAAAGAGCTAAGGACAAAAAGTCGAAAGGTGCGAAATCTGCATGAAACAGTAAAATCGATATCTATGAATTAAAGCACACTGGCGTATGAATGTGCACTCAAGTTATTTTTTCGAAGCAGGCTCTTCTTTTTCTTCCACCTCACCCATTTTTGTCATTTCGACGGTATTTTCAACACATGTGGTCAACTCCTCCAATAATTCGTCAACGTCAAAAGAGCCCAGGTCGCCAAGTTTACGGCTGCGGATGGCAAGCTTGTTTGTTTCAACTTCCTTATTACCTACAACGGCCATGATTGGAACTCGTTGTTGTTCAGCATTGCGGATTTGTTTGGCCAATCGCTCCGTACCCCGATCGACCTCAACTCGGATTCCTGCTTTTTTGGCTTTCGCAGCAATCTCGTGACAGTAATCCTGCACAGAATCTGTAACGGGAAGCAATTTCAGCTGGACGGGAGCAATCCAGAATGGGAAATCTCCAGCACAATTTTCCGTCAAGATACCAAAGAAACGTTCCAAAGAACCAAAGATAGCACGGTGGACCATGATTGGCCGTTCCTTGGTTCCCTCCTTACTGGTGTATTCTAATCCGAATCGTTCTGGCAAGTTGAAATCGCACTGAACAGTCGAACATTGCCACTGACGCCCGATGGCATCACGAATCTTCAGATCGATTTTTGGGCCGTAAAAGGCACCGCCGCCCTCATCAATGCCATAATCCCAGCCCTTCTTCTCGAGGGCGCCTCGCAAAGCAATCGTAGCCGCATCCCAAATCTCGTCGGAACCGACGGCCTTTTCGGGACGGGTAGAAAGCATTATCTCATATTTGTCGAAACCAAATTTCGTCAGAATAGTCTCGATCAAGTCGCAAACCTTAACGATTTCGTCTTCGAGTTGTTCAGGGAGACAAAAGACGTGGGCGTCATCCTGAGTGAATCCACGCACACGGAAGAGACCGTGAAGCGTTCCGGAACGTTCGTATCTATTGTGTAGAAAATCGAAGGTAAAAATTTTATGTTGTGAGTCGAGAACAACAATTATATCCAACATGCTTTACACAACAAATGCAACATGTAATCAGCACACACCTGTATACAGTTCCTAGCTCGCCCCACCGAATGGGAAGATCCCGATATGATCGCAACTCATCAGCGTACATTAGACAATGGAAAGGGCAGTTCATCGGTTTGATTTGATACTGTTCATTCTCAACGTCCATTTGATCAAACATATCCTCTCCGTAAAAGTCGAAATGTCCAGAAGTTTTCCACAAGTCTAAGTTGGCAATGTGTGGTGTGTAAATAATATCGTAGCCATCCTCCTCGTGGGCAGTCTTCCAGAAGTCTTCGATGATCTTGCGAACCTTGGATCCCTTGGGATGCCAAAAGACTAGACCACCACCGGCATCTTCTTGAATGGAAAAGAGATCCAATTTTTTCCCGAGCATGCGGTGATCTCTTTTCTTTGCTTCTTCCATCATTTTCTTGTACTGTTTAAGTTGAGTGGGGTCCTTCCAGGCCGTAGCGTAAATGCGTTGCAGCATTTCACGGTTTTCGTCTCCTCGCCAATAAGCGCCTGCAACACTTTGAAGCGCCAATGCCTTTTTCGGGATTTGCTTGGTCGACTCGACGTGAGGTCCTGCGCATAAATCCCACCATTCATCTCCGATATGATATATCGTGATAGGCTCTTGCAATCCCTCGAGAATCTCTAGCTTGAAAGGTTCGTTCAATTCCTTAATTCTTCGTTCTGCTTCCTCCCGGGTAACCTCCTCCTTGGTGATAGGATAGTCCTTTTGGATAATCTTATCCATTTGCTTCTTGATTTTTTTCAAATCTTGATCATTCAATTTCCGAGCCTCAATCGTTTCTCCGGTTTCAGGATCGATTGTTTCTGGGAAGAAGAAATCGTAGTAAAAACCATTGTCGATCCATGGTCCAATGGTCACCTGCGCCTCAGGGAATAGTTTTTGGACGGCCATAGCCATTACATGGGCGGAAGAATGACGAATGCGAAGCAAGTCATTATCGTTGTCGTTGGTCGGCAATTCATCGAAAATATCTGTATCCTTATCCTCGGCAGCCTGTTTCTCAGGGGCCACCGTAGCCATCAATCGTGCGGGGGTGCTAGATCTGGGCATCGAATAACGCGAAGCGAACGAAGATCCTGCTGCTGTGGCCATTTGCCGAGATGCCGCTCGTTGTACACCAGGAACAAATGCCAACGCATGTCTTGCTGTCGAGAACAGGATCGTTGACAACATTACGCTGTTAAAAGTCCACTTCATTGTATCCTTTATTTTTGTTTTCAATTGGACGCAGCTCCGACTCAAAAATTTTGCAATTAAATTCCGACTCTTGTGTAAACAAAGTGTCAAACTCGACTTAAAATCCCAAGCACTAAGCTAAGTTCTGGGTTTTGGTTCTGGTCTAGGAACAACAGAGTTAAAACAAATTAGGTGATGGGTGCGACAAGAATACAGCACACTTCAATAGACAGAACGACGAAGCGTTGACCAGAAGGATACTACGTTACGAAGTATGCTACCGTACGAAGTTTTTTTGATGGCTGACTGTGATGATGTGTGATGTGATGTGTTTTCGTTTGTTCCGATTTTGCTTCCCCGTGGTAATTGTACCTGTGGTTCATCTCTAACCAAAAATACCTAGTGACGTTCAGTTTTCCGCCACCATACGGTACCGTACGGTACTGTACGGTACGTATGTACTGTACTATGTTCATAATGTAAATTATGCCCGTAGCGCGTAGTATGCACACATAAAATGCATCTTGATTTAGGCCAGAGCAAAGCAAAACACTGCTGGAAACTACTAGTATGTAATATTCGACCAGTTGCTGGATTTTAGCATGTAATCACACAGGCTGGATTACAAAAAGAATACATGTAATTGCATGGTATTAAACCCTACTTATTTTTTACTTAAATCCCACACCTCGATGGATTACAAACCTGCAAAACGGAGTACTACTACATGTACTATTAGTAGTAATCCAAAATTGTATTCAGCGCTCTCCTATGACAGACCCCACCAACCCCAACCCCAACAAGCAGAAAATCCAACCAACTGGTCAATTACGTAAATAATCAGCAAGCTGCTGTGATCAGAACACATATGGATTACACAAAGTAATCTAACTGAAGATGAGGACAAGAGCGGAGCTCGCGTCCGAGGCTGAAGTTAGATTACTTAAGGAAAGCAGCTCGTTGATTATTTACATAATTGACCAGTTGGTTGGATTTTCTGCATGTAATCACGCTTGAAAACAAAAATTACTTAGAGTGTGTACTCAACTGAAAAAAATGGTTTCGGAGTTGTATTCAGGTGCAGCCTGACTACTAGCATTATCCAGTAGTAAAAAATAAGGCTCTGTCATAGGAGAGGGCTGAATACAATTTTGGATTGCATGTACTCCGTTTTGCAGGTTTGTAATTCATCAAGGTGTGGGATTTAAGTAAAAATAACTAGGGTTTAATACCATGCAATTGCATGTATTCTTTTTGTAATCCAGCACGTGTGATTACATGCTAAAATCCAGCAAGTGGTCGATTATATGATAACATAATCGGCGAGCTACTCATGCCGTACATGTAGTCCATATGTATTCTGATCCGTATTCTGGAAAACTCTCCTTTTAAGGAGAAAACAATTATGCACAGTTGACAAAATAGACCTGTCATGAGGGTGATCATTCACATAACAACGCCTCCTCAAGTTCCTTCAGTTGCTGGGACATCTTCAGCTCACTCTCAAGCTGGGATCTTCTTTCTCTTTCCCATGCAACAAGCTCCTTCTTCTTCTTGTACAAATCCTTTGCCTCCTGAATCTTCTCTGATAGCATCTTCTTCTGCAAGTCTACATTCAGGGATTCAATCTCCTTGTGTAGATCTGCAATCTTCTGCTGGGCTTCTTCTAGCTGGCAATGGATGTTCTTGGCTGCCCGCTCAAACTCTTCAGATTCATTCTTTCTTTTTGCAGCTTCTTTCCTTGCACCAATCGGCAGCAAAACCAACAGGTGAGAGCAGCTTCTTACTAGTACCAGTGCCAGCATTAATTACTTCTCCTGCTACGACTACTTTATTGGTTTGGGGCGCCGGTCCACATGAGGAAGAAGGAGGCTTCTCTGTTTGCCATTGAATGATGGCTTCACCTGCTGGAGGCTTGTTCTTCACTCCATGAAGGCCACATTGAAGGACAACTTGTACAGTTCTTTGAATAACAGAATTTTGATGGATGTAAGGCTCCGCTGACTTAGCACTTTTGTGTCTAAGATTATTCATCCTCATCTTTTCAGGAACAGCAAGATTTGACTCAAGGATAGTGCAGCATCTGTGCCTGTTATCATGGGGAGTATACTTTTCCCAATCCTTGAAATCTGAAACTTCAGCAAACTCTTTGACCCAGCCCCTAATCACATTGATTCCAACAGGGGAGTTGGTCTTGAAATAATAAGGATTAGGATGGTTCTTCTTCTTGTTCCGCTTCAAGTTTGGGTGGCAAAGGAGCCTTTCTTGCTTAGGATCACACCTCTCTTTATAGAAGAAGATGAGCTTTACAACACAGTTTGGATTCTCTGGATCTTCAACAACTGATGGAAACTGTTTTGTTGCAGTTGGATTCTTAAGAAACAGCTGGTGTGACTTGTCAAAGCCTCCTCCTGGGGTAATAATTACGTACTTCAGTCCACTCATGGCTCCATTTTTGAAGGTTCCCATATGAACGTGTGTCCACATTAGACCAACTAGCTCAGTCCCTCCCCTTATTCCAAACTGTCTTCCAAGTTCCATTGCAAGAAGCTTCACCAAGTTGTGCATATTCTCATAAGGCTTGTAGGTACCATCAGTTAACACCTTATTAAACTTTTCATCAACAAACTCATCAAACTCAGCCTTAGTCCGCTTGGTTCTGATGGAAGGATCATTCTTTTTCTTGCTGTTATAATCATGCTTGATGAAAGGAATAAAGCCCCCTTTTCCTTTGAAATCTCCTTCACAGAACTGGACGCCATGCTTGTGAAGAGCAACAAAGAGCTGTCTGATCCTTACACTCATGGTGCTGGTGTCCAACGGCCCCCAGCAGTCTTAGTGTTCTTCAAGTGCTTGGCCCAAACTTTGAGAGCTCTACCCATCATTTCCTTGCTAACTGCATTCTTTTCTCCAAAATAGATAATCTTCAGTTAGTTCATTTTCCATCAGTACCTTCTTAGTGAACATCTCATACATGAATTTGTCTCCTGGATCATTGGTGACTGGATTAGTGGCATTCTTAGTAATGATCTCCACAAACTTTTGATGAGTATTCCTGATAGTCTTTGCATACTTCTTTGTATTCGCCTCTGCATCTTGATATTCATCACTTCCTAGTGTATTGAATGTGTTGGCATTGTTTTGAATGGTCTTAGCATACTTAAGGAGCAAGTCTTCTGCCGTTTCGTTATTTGTGTCTTGTTCTTTATTGTGCTGCTGTTGGGGAGGAGGATCTTTCGCAGGCGGTGCTGCCGTTGGAGGAGGATCCTTTACTTGTTTGTTAATTGTTATGGCTGGTGGTGGTGGTGCTGCTGCTGGTGGGGGCTCGTTGTGCAGAGGCAGCAGGGCCAACAACGTTGCATCACCAACAAGGGGTGAGGGAGGTGGTGGTTAGCGAGTGTTGTTCTTAGTACTAGTAGTCTTGTATCTCTTTGCATATGGATTCCTTACAACGGTTGATGGTGGTGGAGCGGCTGCTGGAGGAAATGGTGCAGCAATGGGGGGAGGAGCGAGTTCCACTGTAACTCATTTCCAAGAAGAGCTGATGGTTCATCCAGTAGAATGGTAGAAGAGGGTGTTTGCTGCTGGTTGTCAACATCAATGGGTGTTCTATCCAGACAAAAGGATACATCTCTCCCCCATCTGTTACAAGCAGCAAATAACTCCTTCTTCACAATTGTGGATTCCTGAGTTTCTTTGTCCTCTTCAAATTTGTGAGCATATTCTGGCCAGGCCCCATGATCTTTCCGTGTGTCAGCTGCTTTCTGCTTGTGTCAAGCTTCTGCTTTGGCCCCCTTTCTCCGCGGCGTCGATCTCATCAATAATACAGCAGGTGGTGTTCTTGCCTTATTCTTATTGCTCCTGGTCCTAACCATGATACATCTTTTATGAAGTTTACCATGTTATCAAAACAAAATCACTGTTCTTTGCCTTTATTTTACGTATAAATTAKGTACATTTGTACATAAAGGGTTGTTTTTGATGAAGAGTATTTTGCTTTTACTAGAGAAGAAATAGCATGATTGCAAAAGGGAGTATCATCCTAAAATAAAAACAACACAAAATTCAACTCAGTTGAAAACATAAATTTGTTAGAGTATGTACCTCATTGGTAGGAACATTTCCCAGGAGTACTTACATTTTTGTACTCTGCTCAATTTTTGGGTTTGGAGTTGTATTCTGGTTCAGCCAAACAACAAGCAGTATTGTGGACAAAATTGGGTACAACCCGGCTGCGGTCCTGAATACAATTTTTGGAGACCAGAATACAATTTCTGAATACTGTATTCATGTACCCAAGGGTATGTACTCCATCATGGTCCCGGACTTAGTAAAAAATAACTAGTGTTTCTTAGTGCGCAAATATAATATTTATTTAGTATTCAACCGCGCTTGAATACAAGCAAAAAGTGAGCAACTTGACTACAACAGCAACTACTACTACTACTAGCTGCCTCTTTGAATTGTTATTGCACTACTAATTAATGGCTCATTCCTGTCACTAGTACTAGTACTAGTACTAGTACTAGTACTAGTACTAGTACTACTAGTAGCAGAAGTAGGTCAGACCACCACCAGCAACTGCTGGTGGTGGTGTCACCAGGAAGAACAAGAATCTACTAGTACTAGTAGTACTACTAGCGCTCCTAGTAGTAGTACTACTACTAGTAGTAGTTGTGGGAGTGACTATCTAATGGTGATGTAAAGGTGATGGTGATTTTTATTGGAAGGGTTTCATAACAACCTGTGGGAGTTACTAGTACTATCTAATAGTGATGTAAATCAAGTGCTAGAAGAAAAGTGAGTCAATGCTCTTACTATCAAGGATGATCAACAAACTATGAAATCTAAAATTGATCAGAATGAAGATCAAGTGATGTGTGAATTGAATGAGTCAAGTCAGTCACGTGAGTGAGTCAGCAGATGAGTCAAGTCAATCATGCAGATCCATCGGATCAAATGAGTCATGAATGAAGAGTGTGTATGAATCATAGATATGTGTCATATGTATTTGTCATAGGTACGAACCATACCCACAATCTGATACTATCCTATGGACAATACTACTAGTAGTAGACTGCTTACAGAATGGTAGTAACATTACTAGTAGTACTAGCTACTGCTACTAGTACTAGTAATTGTTGGCCAGCAGGAGAGCTTGTGTTGTATGAAACAGAATTGCTTTCTGGTCTGGTGCTGTTCAATATCCTCCTGTTGTTGGTGTTGCATTCTACTGTGACGTAGTAGTAGTACTAGTACTAGAACTGGTACTAGTACTAGTACTAGTAGTAGAACTTTTAATAGTAACACAAGCAGTAATGCTGCTACTATTATTAGTAGAACTATCCTCTGCTAGCTAGTAGTACTAGGAGTACTAGTACTACTAGTAGTAGTTAGCAGTACTACAAGCAGCAGCAGTGAAGAAAACAAGCAGACATCTCCTGGTGGTGCCTGTCACTGACTAGGACTACAAATGATAGAAGTACTAGTACTATGTCACATAGTAGTACTAAGACTGCTTGAACCACCTCCACCACAGTAAGAAATAGTAGTACTACCAGCCACCAGGGACAGGAGGTCACCAATAAGCAACTTAAAATGATTTGTGGTAGTACTACTAGTACTATCAAGACCATCATAACTCCACTCCACCACTTGTAACTTCTGTGCACAGCTTGGAATGACACAGGAGCAGAGGCTAATACTACTATCATGGCTTCATAAAAGCAGCTAGCTTCCACAACAAAGAATGTAATCTTGCATTAAATGGTCTAATAAAAAATTTGCTTTGTCAATGCCAAAACACCAAGCACCAGCAGATGGCTGATTGGAATTTGTGATGTTCCTTTGATGTTTTGTTCAATATTCTCTTGGTTGGATTTTTTTCTGGGACTTTGAAATGTAGTACTCAGGATCCTCACTACTTGCTCCTATGTTTTGGCTGATCTGATCAATTTGTTGTTCTGCTTTTTCTTGCTGTCCTCATTTCCACCACCTCCTGCTCCAATCTGCAATCACTCTCCTGTACTGGAACATTATGTTCCAGGAATTGCATTCTACTACTAGCATTGTTAGTACTATTGCCAGTAGTAGTACTGCTCATCAGCTCATTGATTGAATTTCACACTTGGGTATCCAGACCCAAGTGTTTGTCTTTTACTAGTAATTTATTTGCATTGCATTCCCCTGCTATCTTTCTTGGTGCCACCTAACTCTGCTTTCTTACCAAAAAAAAGAGTGGCATTTTTTACACTGCAGGAACATCATGTACAACCCCTATGAGCCTATATATGGTTCAAATCCTTGCCAACAAGATGAATATATCTATAATATCAATTAATGAATTCAATATGAAACCAGTCTTATTTTAACACAAAATGTTTTGGTTGAGGTATATATACATTGTATAGAGTTGGCTAGCAAATCTATGATCCAGTTGTAGATTTTGGGCCCTTATTTTTGTGTGTAATGATTACTTTGACTAAAGAACTAAATTCATAGTACAAATGCACGTGCTCATTAGTGTTGAATTTGATAATCCAACCAGTTGTGCAACCAAAATAGTTTCGCCTGCACCCGCATGCTGTAGCTAGCCCTACTGGTACAAGCTTTTAATTTTTAATCCCACGATGCATTACACGGTAATTAGATGGCCCAAAATCCACACACAGTAGAAAACACATAGAACATTAAGAGAGGTTCAACTCACTCAAACAGCTATATATTTGTCCCCAGGGGACGCTTAACAATGATAAGCACATGAATCAAAGGGAATTTACACACAAATATAGTCATGTGGGGGTTATAGGGTATTATTGAACATATAAAGTTATATAGGGCTGTATATACAAGATTGCTAATGTACGATTGGGTCGCGTTTTTTTGCTTGGCCTTGAAAAGTACATGTCATCTGAAAATTTTGCATCTAATTTCACAGCATGCATGCATGCCATCCTTATTCTTCCAGTAGGAGTGGAGTCAAATAATGACAGGAATATGATGTTTTCTAGGAAACTCAAATTTTGCCTCCTTGTTTTGGGAAGCTGCTTCTCAACAGGAAGTCATTCTTGCTGCTGGAACAACATGACTATCCAAACTATGAATAGTTTTTTTCTACCTCTGTGGTTATGTCGCGGATAGTCAGACAATGACTAGTTACTGCTGAGAACAAGCTTCCCAAAAATGACACACATAAGATCCCTAAAAACCCTTATTCTTTGTCCTCAAGCAGAGGTACAGTTTGCACTCAGGGCTGATGATATTCTTCCATACTAATTCAATGTGAGTGTTTGACTGCTCCTGTCACCGCCACCAGCATGTTCCACCACTCAATACTTCTTGTAGTACAAGTTCCTTCACTGTTCTGGCTACTACTACTACTAGAAACTTTGTATATGAAGAACCTTTCAATTACATAATCCTACTGCTAGTAGTAGTAGTAGTAATCTAGTAGTAGTACTAGTAGTAGTAGTAATAGGAAATGAAAACTCCTAGTACTACTACTCTACTACTACTAGTATTAGTAATAGTAGTAGCTACAAGTAAGATAAATACTTGTAGTTGCAGTAGTACGTACTAGTACTGCTGTCTGTAGGATATCAGATTGTGGGTATGATTCATATCTACGATTCTGGTGGTGGTGCTGCTGCGTGCCTGCTGTTGCAGCTGGTGTTATCATAGTACTACTACTAAGTAGTAGTAGTAGTAGTACTAATACTACCTACTAGTAGTAGGTACTACTAGCAGTCCTAGCACTAGTAGTAGTACTACTACTGTAGTAATAATAATACTACTGGTTCTTGTTGTACCGGGACCTTCTGCATTCCCCCCTATTAGTAGTAGTGGACACAGCCCTTACTAGTGCGTAGAACCTTTCCGTACGAGTACTAGTGTAGGTGCCTCGTCGATTGTAGCAACTAGGAGTACAGTACCGTACGGTATCGTACTACCATACTACGAAGTAAGTAATGATCACACGAATGATTCATCATCATCGTTAGATGGAAGGAACGTACTATCCTAGAGTACTACGAGCAACGTACAGTACGGTAATAGATTATCTTCTTTTTTTTTGACATGAGCTACAAATTCTTCGACCAACTTCGGGTTGATTGGTGATTTATTTTTTTCTTTGCTGCGGTGGTGGTTCTTGGTTTTACAATTTCCTCCGATGATTTGTCTGAATTTGTTCTCTTCCTGAACTTAAAAAATGAACGCGCCAGAATTCTGCGCATTAGGATTAATTATTCATGACGTGTACTTCTACTTACACGTACCGAACATGTACAACATGTTCTCAGATGCATTTTCGATCAAAAGTTCTGACACCCGAAAACAGATTTTTTTCTCACGCAGTGGAGCAGTATGGTATTACTAGTCAGTTCTGCGCTCATGTTCCCCTAACCGATCGTACGTTTTTACCCATCACCGAGGGTTCCCAGCTTCCATTTCCGCACCGCCGAACTTTTTTCGAACAGAAATTGGTGTTCAAATTTGTGTCCTTTCCTCACCACAACAAATATTTGAACTAAGATTCGGATAAGAAAATCAATGTCCAAAACTCGAATAGACAATAAATTCATACACAACATAATTACTTTTCGAAATTGATGCACTGAGAAGACCGTGAGTTGGATGCCGAGAACTCGGAGGATGCAAAACGAATTGTTTTCGCATCAACATCGGAGAGGTGGACCGGCCTTTTCTTGCGGTGTCGTAGATTTCATTTCTTAACTTGTGTTCGTTTGAGTCACGAATCCCATTCGTAGTGAGAAAATGTTACGAAGATGGAATCTTGTGGTTCGGGACTGGGGTTGGATCCGCGAAAATTCCCATTTACGTACTGAGGGAATGAAATTATCCTTTTTGCGGAGCATGTGTTCTAGTCATGACTACCCTCTTACTAACCTCATCGTCATTGCTTTATCTACACCTTAGGATATTCTAGATTTTGCAAACAGCAGAGGGGAACGCCGGGCTGTAAGCTTCTAAATTGCACGCTATCGCTATCATCGAATACCACATTGAAAAAAGTCTGTCGCTGTACGTTTTGGAAAGGGTTCTGCCGATCAAGATGTCTTCTTCGGATTAAGAGACGCCCAAGTGGCCACAACACCAACGCAACATAAATCAACATAGGAAACTATCATGGATCCAACACCAGAAGAAGCCGCAGAAGGTTCCGTTCTTGTCAAAGTACTAGCTGCAGTCCTTGAACGGTTGGTGAAGTCCAACGCCGCAACCGCTAGGACAGATCCCGGTCAAGTGACAAAGTTTCATGCGCTGAAGGCACCAGGGATCGGTGTGGAATCTTATTTGGACAGGTGTGTAGCTGTTGTCATCAGGAAGTATCATCAATGATTTATTGAACCCTCTCMGACCTGTGTCTGACCTTCATTTGATTTCACCGATTTCGAATCTATTTCTTTCTTATGCGAAGAATTCAAAAATATGCTTCTTGTTCGAACGAGTGTTTTATACTGGCACTTATATACATTGATAGATTGATTGAGGGTAACAATTTCTTGCTTACGGAGCTGAATGTCCATCGGGTAGTAATAACAGCCATTTTACTGGCCGCAAAGTTCTTCGATGATGCCTACTACAACAATGCTTACTATGCAAAAGTTGGCGGTGTATTGGTGAACGAGTTGAATGGGTTAGAAGTTGACTTCTTGTTCCGGATAAACTTCAGCTTGCATGTCCAACCTGAAGAATTCGAGAAGTACAAGGCTCAGCTTGTGACACATTCGATCAATTCAGGAATAATACCGCTCGCCTCACCGGTAGCACCCCCCCATCAACTTCATAATATTCCCGAAACGGATTCCGATACGACAACTCAATCAAAATATAATCAGCAGCAGGCTACAATGCAAGTAGCAACAGCGGTAGCTGTGTCGACCTACGATTCAATTATGACCGATAGAACTCAAGTAACACCTTCTCCAAACAATTGCTTGCAAGATACAACCACTATTGGAAATACATGCGGTCAAATCCAAACGTGCTCTACCGCGGCTGGAGCTCTCGTACAGGCACCAACGCCACGAGATCAAAGAGACCTTCATACAATGACTGCAGCCAAAAATTCTATTCAGCGCACATTTGTTTTGGAGAGGGCTAATTCTCTTCCGCCATTTTCTTCTGTACGTTGTGTAGATCACGCGTTCAAACTTCCATACAGTGCTCCTGCCATGCCTACGAAAGCTCCTGCTTTGGACGTAGATCAGATGCAATACCAAATGATGATGAATCAACTATTTCCGATCGAGAATACTCTGGTGCACCACAATCATCAGTGTCCGACTTCAACAATGACTGCACCCACTAATATTTCAAATCATCATGCCAATCCAACGGGGGGACTTGGTGGACATCATCCCGGAGGGGTTCTGGGACCAATGGCCTACGAAGTTGCTTGGAGCGGATAAGAGTAAATATCAGATATTGTGAAGGATGGCATTTTTCCATTTCAATCCTGAAGTCTTCACGAATCCTGACTGATTGAAATGGCAGCTTTTGAGTCTATTATTATTATTGAAGATTTCCATTGCACTAGTGAGAAGACGCCGATGCTATATATATCTCACGAGTTTTAGCTGCTTGGCAATAATTTACAATGATACTATTTCTTTGAACAGTTCAAAGACATCAGAAATCATCGTGAAGTCGAGAAGAGATGGCAAAGATTTCGGTCATATTGAAAACTAAACTAGTACGACTTCTTACTGGCACGGTATCGTAGTTTCAACGAGGAACGAAAAAAATTGCGTAGAATGAACAAATTACGGTAGGGTAAATTGCTTGATACTGAGTCGAAGAAGCATGTTCGTCTCCTTCTGCCTCGAAGTAATTCGCCGTCTATCCCTCAGATTTTTTAATCCAATTATTGCGTAGAATGACACGTGGCTGACAACATTCCTACTATGACCAATCAGATTCCACAGTCAGGTAAGGGAGAACTTGGAGGTCGTAGAGGAGAACCCAAATACTGCATGAAAGCAAAGTTCACACGTGGTCTATTGCGGATCAATAGTCATAGATGTACCGTACTTCTAGTACAGTTTCTCTCGTTTCGCTATCGTGCTGTCCTGTGTACAATCAGTGCCACTTTTTTAAAAAGGGTTCTCCCTGCTGATGCTCAGGCATGGTACGACAGTGTACGTACAGCACATACTACTTCAGCTCAGGAGACCACGGACCAAACGGGGATTGCCGTAGATAAGTACCCGTACGTACGTACCGTACCTTTCAGAACAAACTGTTCGCGTGCCGCGGAAGTGTCACATTTTGCCATCAACGTAATACAGCAATCATTTTATTTTCGATTTCGCATTGGAGTTGCTACCGGTAGTTGGTCAAGTTCAGGCTTCACATCATAAGAGGAACAAATGCGCTACTCGCAGATAAGAAAGTTCCGATCGTACCGAAAGAATCGAGTAAGGCATTGCGAGATACACATCAACAACAAAATATGCCGCCGCAACAACAAAATACTGGAATCTGTACAGGGCGAGAATGCAAGAATATAACTCGTGGTGCAAACGACGAAGAGGAGTGTGACGATGATGAAGACCACTTTGAAGATTCATATTCGGTGCCTCTAGAAGAGATGATAGGTGAAGAAGCCACACGAGGGATTGGCGTATCTCGTCAACACACCAACTCCCTATACGAAGCCCCGCCGGCTTGGTCACTGGCGCCATCTATATTTCCTTCATTCGTTCAATCGGGTTTGGAAGGAAAAGCTTCTTTCACTGAGCTGAAATACTGGATTGCACTTTCGTTGACATTGGATGGAAGGGATAAGATTACAAAAGTCCTTCAGTACGCATCGCGACTAATGGCATGGTGGTTGGTATCGAGCGTACACTCTAGCAGAATATCTCGTGCTCATGCTAGGCGTTTTACGAGCCTTTATAAAAGTCTGGGCAGCAGCAGAAAGGCATTTCGACTAGGACGGTCAATCAACGAAATACATAAGATATCTAGTATGGGCCTATTCGGATTATTCTATTGGCATTTGAAACAACAATACTTGGAGGATAATCGCAAATCAATTGTTGGTCACGATAAAGGGGGATTGAGAGAAGAAAATGCAAAAGAAAACGACAGCAGTCCCGGAAAACCTCCATGTGTTAATTCTTTTCTAGAACCTTCGAGATCGCTTCGAGCTAAGTTTGATGCTAATCTCGTCGGCTTTACCCGTCGAATACAGTCGTTGTTGCTCTCTTCTTTTGTTGCCGTTTTTCCATCGAACGAAGACACAAGTGTGGTGTGGTGGAAGCTGATTGGTTCGCTTTTGAAAACGCTTGGGATGCTTGGTTACTGGCTGGGTGATAATGCAAACTTTTTGACTTCTAGTGGAGCCCTGGATGATTACAGCCTTTCTGACAAGAGTCGCTTGGAGCGTCGAAAAAACTGGCTGGAAACTACTGCGAAGAAGGCCAACCAATTTTACTTTTTCGCTACCATAGTAGGGTTGGCTACAAATCACTACTCCTACTATCGGTTTGGATTGAAAAGTGCGATGCTAGGCCGTCGGGGAGGACAAAGCGAGGAAGGTTGCAGTGGAAAGTTGGAGCCAGGGGAAGATAACGATCGTGTTAAGCATTCTGAATGGACGAAGCAGAAAGAGGAAGAGAAACAGTTTTCGCTTTTCCTAGCTGTTCTGAAGAGCTGGATGGACGTTATTGTATTTAGCAACAATCCAGGAATTGATTTACATAAGAAGTTGAGAGGGCGAAAAAACCATGAAGTCATTCATTGTCTCTGTGGTTTGATTTCTGCCGGTACTAGTCTATTGAGCAACTTTCCAGATGCTAACAAATGAACATGATTGTTTCTTTCATGATAGGATATGAACTATGGCTGCGAACGATTAACGCTGACACACCATAAAGGTATCTCATATCGCTCGCTTCAATAAGTATGGCATCGGTACTACAATTATAAAAATGAGATTCGAAACGTCAGTTGTGAGTTCGCCACGAACAACCTCACCAATAGCTAGAGCTACTGGTACCAATACGATGCTTTTAGGGAAATAACTTCTAATTTTTTACTGTAAATGGAATCAAAACATCAAACATGCCTGGCAGTTTTCCAAGCACCTACGTTTTCAATTTTTTCATCACCGTGATAGTTTGCTCGTACTGTAGATACGTGCGTCGTACAGCTGCAGTGTATCGGCATGCTTGCTCCGTCGACACAAAACGATGATCCATCATCTTTTTTCTTTCCTTCACCGTCAAATCTGAAACCCTTACGTACCGGTATACGCCTGTACGGGTACCAGTACTCGTGCCTCGTATCAAAAATTGATGATTGTCAGCGAGCCACTACAACACTATCTCGCGGTGTGGAAAACACCATCCAAACGATTTCCACTATAATATTGGTTACAGAACAGGGACCATCCATCACATACTGATAACACACTCCACACCATCTCTTGTTCGATTCTATGCCCTGGTTATGCACCGCAGTAGCTTTTACTCTTCCACTGAATAACTTGAAAGGCCAAAAAGAATCTCGAGGTATCGAATTGAATGAAGTAAACGAGTTCGAGTATAAAAAGGAGCATTCTTCGTTGTTGGCGACATTAGATGTGCACACGAAATAGTTGGAGTTATTGGCAACGGCAGCATCAGGCGTAGTTAGAGCTTCAGAAACAGCAACATCGAAGGATAAGATGAAAAAGAAAGAATTGGACTTTGAGCGCATTGCGAGGCAAGCTCGCGAATTTCGAGAACAAGAAGAGAAGCGGATAGCCTCCGAAAAAGAAGACGAGGCGAGGCGAATTGCTGCCGAGAAAGAGGCGGAACGAGAACGAATCGCTCAAGCGCACGAGGAGACGTTATTGAATGCCGAGCATAGCAGCATCGGCTCTTCCCATTCCTACGAAAGTAGAGCACCAAAGCCGAGTCCTGGAACAGTAAAGCGTCGAACGGAATGGTTACGAAATCTAGCCAAAGATGCCGCTGAGCACCGTCACCTTGAGGAGGAATTCAATTCAATGTTGGTAGCACGACTAAAGCGTCATCCCAACGAGGCAGCGAAGGATGCAGAAGCGGCGGTGAAAGCTGCTTTGACCTCATCTTCACCTCGTGATGACTTTGACAGAGATATAGAAAAACTTCGAGACCAAACAGCACATATTGCCAAAGAGGTTGCGAATGCCGAGCGTAGACTTCGAAAGGGTTCGGAGGATTTGATCGAGGAATTTAATCAGATAGAGGCAGATTTGGAAATGGAGATTGCAGAATATCAGACGCCTTCCTCTGATGCCAATTCAAGTGATCTGGATATAGAAGGCCACGAGGTGAATGGTGTAAAACCCAGAGATTTAATGGAAGAATATAGTCACTCCGACGCACCAGATTTGACAACAGTCGAATCAATGACAATGGAGACTATTGAAGAAAATATAGATGCACCTGAGGGAAATCTGGAACCACAAGGTGATTCGGATATTGAAAAACTCGAAACATCGCCGGGGCAACAAATACATTCAGGAGGTCCTGAATACGGAGCAGAAGCTGATCCAGCGCATACCACAGCAAAGACTGTTTCTGTCGTGTCGAAGTCGATCATAGCTGAGCCATCGACAATGGAGACTACAGAAGAAAACGTGGATGCACCTGAGGAAATTCTAGAACCACAACGTGATGAGGATGCCAGAGAAATCCAACCATTGCCTAAAAAGAAGTCGTATTCGAACAATCTTGAATTTGGAGCCGAAGCTGATCCAACAGATATCACAGATGGTACGTTCCCCATCGCATCAAAGTCGACCATTGCTGAATCAACATCAATAGAGACTTTAGAAGAAAATTTTGATGTGCCAGAAGCCAATTCAGAACTACAGGACGGTATGGGTGTTGGAATAATCCAAATGTTGCCCAAACAACAAATGCATTCGGATGGTCTTGAATACGGAGCACAAGCTGATCCAAGAACGCAGGCGCTGCTAGCTGAAGACGATTTGGTACCCACGGGAAAAAAATATCATGCAGACGAGAATTTAAGGATTAAGGACAGAAACAAGAAGAGTATAGTTCTGGATGGTTCGATTCCAGTTGATCGGAAAATATTTCGAAGAAACAAAAGTTCTTCAAAAAATTACGAGGATGAGGACGGGGAATTTGGTTCTGAATTTGTTCACAAGGAGGCTACTTTCGAACTTCCAATGGAACTTACAGAGAATGGGCTGAAGTTGTCATCGAACACAGCAGAAGTGAATATGATCACTACTATCCCACCTTCGCGGCTTGATGGCCGAATCAGTGGCATTCTGGAGGGTAGATCGACCTTGGGACCTCATTCAAATACAGCATCAGGGTCGTTAGCTTTGGAGTACAAGTCTTCGAAACAAAGTCGTCTCACTCTTGGAATGATCCGAGGATGCGAACCCCATCATCCCTTAATAACAATTGGAGGCCGGTTACTTCGTCAAGGCACCAGCGTCGGTGTAATCTTTTACCACAATGCACAATTTTTGCATCAAATGTTGCTTGAACACTCCCTATGGGCCATCTCCTTTCGTCACTCCTTTCCTAATTCAAGATGGACTCTTTCGTCACAGCTCTCACGACGGAAAGACCTTTCCTTGTCCTTAGTCAATGGAAACAAACTCTCTGGTTTGATTGGCTGGAATCTACTCAAACCAAAGCAGTTTCACGCTCGGTTTGATGCCCGCCCCAAGCTTACAGAGTATCGAAGAGCGCACCTTTACTGCCAGTGGAAAGCATCGCCTGGGCCTGGTCTCTGGAATGTTGGATTATCTCTCGTTCAGTCACTCCATTCGCAGATCGCAACTGTTGGTCTGGGATGCCGTTTGTTCTCCACAAAGGGACTCGAGTGGGTCATTTCGTGGTCTCGGGGAAATTCCACTATCAGTATACCAATCCTCTTATCAAAAAGCATGGCACCAAGTACAACCATTGGCCAAACATTTTACTTTTCGCTCATTTCTTTCATGATGCAAGAATATATTGCAGAAACCTGGGGATGGATCGGAAACGACAGCGAAGACGACGAAGATTGCAAGGTAGAAGATGCATCGATAGCGCTTCGAGCTCAAAATCTGGCCAAGGCTCGGCAAGATGCGGTCATCCAAAAGGAGCTCATGGCTAGACAAGCTCGTCGAAAGACTAAGGAAGAAAAGGAAAAAGATGGATTGATTATAATTGATGCCATCTACAAAGTCGAGAACGGAGAGGAATGGAGTGTTACCGTGCCGTTACAGTTTTGGGTGACGAATTCCACTCTCACGCTACCGGCAAGACCAAAGAGCGAACTCTTGGGGTTTTATGATGTTGCAGCCCCACTCAAAAACAGCAGAGTGTCGTCCATCGCGGGGAATCAAACCAGTACCACGTCGAGTAGTTCTGGGCGTTGCTTTCCGACTTTAAGTGAGCTGTGGCACGATCTTCTTGACCGGACACCAGAGGATTCGCAGTCAAAGAAGTCTGAAATCAGTTCTCCAACGTTAACTGTGAGTTATGAGTTCAGAGGCAAACCGCACGTCGTAACGATCAAAGATCGAGACGAACTAAGGCTACCACAAGTCTAATTTGAGAATGTAGATAAAATCAGAGAAGAATGAATAAATTCGTTCCAAAAAGCTAAATTAGAAATAAAGAACGCGCACGATAGCGTTTGAAGACTTCAGACTCTAGACGTCAACAGCAATCTTCCATATGGCGTTGTGATGCTAGGAAAGCCACAACATAATGTGCTCATTGGTGATTAAATTATCGCAGAGAAAAATTGAAACTGAGTGCCCGTGTCTATTCCTACAGTTAGTATTCTCTCCAGAAAAATTGTGTGATCGTTTCTGCTCTGCTTTTGGTTGATAGGAGAATCGCATATGCAGCAGGTGTGAATAGCAATTTATCAAAATTGAGTGTGTGCTTTTATGAGGACTCAAATGGCTCACCTCAAACATCAGGTCAGTGTACGCTCTATTTTTCGAAGAATACATTGCGGTAAAATTTTTATTCATCGAGTTTCAGGTTTTTTCATTTATTGTTCTCTTTTCAAACCATGATAAATGGTGCAAAAATCATCGAGATGTTGGTGTTTATGAAAGAGCTAAAGATATAACAATTATACCTTCTCTTTCTAATAGCGTCGTATCCGCTTCTTCCTGTACTCGCCGGGGCGTTGAGATTGAGTATCGAAGCCCTTACTTTTATCACCACGGTAGGCACTCATTGCCGGAACCTTTACCGCTGGTTTCTTGAAAACATCGTGGTCACCCGTAGCGTCAACCAAAAAGTCATCGACTTCCTCTTCTTCGTCTTCGGAACTCGTCGTGGAGGTTTGTAGATTTGCTCCGGAGGATTGTTTCTTATCATCCCCTTCGTCATCGCTGCTATCACTATCACTGTCACTGCTAGAATCCGAATCGCTAGTACTAGAGCCGCTTGCACTTTTTCGCTTGGATGTGTCGGCTTTCGATGATGATGTCTTGGTCTCGTCGTCGTCACTATCCGAATCGCTGCTGTCGCTGTCACTACTGGAACTGGAATTTTCTTCTTTTGCCTTTTGTTGCGCAGCAGATTCATTTCTGCTAGTTTTTGCCGTATTGGATAGAGGATTCACCTCTTCATCTTCACTGTCGGATGAATCATCGTCACTGGAGCTAGAATCGTTCTTCTCGGTAACTCCTTTCTCCGGCTCCGCACTTCCAGACGTGCCTGGTTTGGCGGTGTGGTCGTCTTGCTGCAACAGATCGCTCTCGGCTTCGGCGGCTGCCCGTAATAATTCCTCGTGATTGGAAGCCATTGCAAACCGTGAATCTTCCGTCTTGGTAACCGAACCCGTCTTTTCCTTGTTGCTTCGTGACACGCTTCCCCCGAACACTCGTTCTTCGTCCTGGATGGTCCACTCGTCCTTCGGAAGTCGTTCGTACTGATCACTCCCGATCCAATTCACCCTCGTCACCTTGTTGATGTCCCGCAAGATTCGTTTCCGCGTCACTGCCCTCCGAAAGAGTTGTCGGCTCTGGTCGGTCACCCGCTTTCCGTGTTTGAACAACGGCATGTACTTGACGTCGTTTGGGTGGTGCGCAACGTAGACCTTATCCAGCGCCAGTTTCAATAGCTGTTGTTCCTGGTCTGCGCCGTTGCTTTTTCGGACTTTCTTTTCCTCTCTCGTGAGTCGCTGGCGATCCAAAAACCGTTGCCCGTGAGCCTTCTCGGCGTGTTTCTTTTCGACCATCGATTGCTGCTTCTGGGAAATCTCTATTTTCAGCGCCGCAATCTTGCTCTTGAGTTCCTTCGTCCTAGTTTCGTCMGCCCCGTCTTTGTTTTCAGCGCTCTTCAGAATCTTGGAGAGCAAGCGTTCGTGGCCGCGCAGCTGCTGTTTCAGTGAAGAACGCTTGTTGGAATTCGCCGATTTTCCTTTTCTCCACGGCTTGAACTTGCGATCGAGCCCGTGCTTCGTAGGGACTCTCATGGTTAGTTCTTGTTCTGGACTGGTGTGCCTTCGAATCGTTGGCGTGAACGGCGCGTACGAGGTGACACGTACAGGAAAGCTAGTTGTTTCTACTTCTATGCCGACTTGAGCAGTGCTTGTTTTGTCCTCCGGTGCGGTATCTCAACAAGATTAGAGGAGAGGCTATTTCGGCAAATTCCAAAGAAGTTGCTCTCGACGATGTATCGCACGGAAAGAGCACGATTCCAGAAAAAATCAAAATCAGAAATTATCGATTATCGATTTAGTTTGTTTGCCGTCGTTGCTAGCTGGGATGGTGACTGGAGCGGCATGAAGGACGATCGATGGTCAGACCGAATTTTTTTCGTTCCTTAGTTTTAGGGGTACAAGTTGTAGGGTGACTATTCTGTGCTTTGTCATTCCCCTTTTGAGAAAGACAGTTTCTTTTGACCAAAAATTAGGAACACCGAAAACTTCGGAAGTCTCGTAATTCGTAGAAGCAAAGAACGTACGATAGCTAGTACCGGGAAAAAACAACAGAATAATGTTTACGTTTTACAGTCGTACCGGTAGGTCGTAGGTTACTGTACTAATTACTAGTATTCCTTAGTACGAGTACTAGTAAATTCTCAATTCATGTCTGTAGAATTAAAAATGGAATATAACTACACGAGCCGGTCCGAGGCTTTCCTCTTTCCTTCCATTCGAAAGTCAATGGCAACAGTCTTCCACAATTTCGTCATACGTGTTGTATCCGAGCTGGTTTTCTATTTCTGCCTGAGCATATTCCAGAGACGGGAGGGGAGAATCAAATCCCTCAACTCCTCCTTCACCGAGCTGAAGGGCTGGGTTCCACAGCCACCTCTCTCCCCCGGTGGCGCGAATCATAGCCGGGATCAACTCGCAATCGATGTGTGGTGGTATGACAAGCTGTCCGACACTCCGGTAGTCGATCGCAAACAAGGATTGACTGATGTCCAGTTTCTTGCTATCGGCATCGGCAAATCCTAAATTGTACATTTCCCGAAAGGAAGTCACCCCATTGATCCGTCGTACTAGGGATAGATACTGGATAATACAGGAATCAATATTGTGCGCATCATTCTTGTAAATCGCGCTCTTGTGCCTATGACTCGTTTCACCCGACGCATCCCCCTTGTCTTCGTCAATAAGGTAGGGCGAGAGAGCTTGCAAAATCACTGCATCTTTGCCTCCCTCTTCGGAATTCAACTTCGTAATTCCAAGAGCAGATGTCAGTGGGTCGTCGTTCATCGATACATGAATGTATGCTGGCCCATCTACAAAGCCTTTACTCAAGCCGCTAATGGTAACGACAGTTAAAGCCTTGTGGAGCAGAAGCTCTGCCTCCTCTTCGGAAAAGATCTGCGTGTGGAAGTTGTCGTCCCCACTGCGGCTTTCGTCCAGTCCCACACCAATGCCATCCCGGCGAGAAGCCTTCGTGGACTCGTCATCGGATGAATGATGCATGGATTCTCCAATCGATGATGTGACCCGATTTTTCCACTCCGATAATGCCGCCATCAACACACTTGAAGTTGCGCTGTACGTCATTAGCACCAAGCCGGGCGATGACGGTGACGACGATGGAGCATCTGATGCGGAGGGTGCCTTTGTTTCTCGGACCGATCGCACCGCAACGTCAATCAACCGAATCAATGTATCTTTTAATCCTTTCGAGTCACTTCCGAGGTACTTGTCTCCGAGGGTCCGCGATAAAGATGCCGACCCGGCTGATCGAGCCCGTGAGAGTACGGTGTAAATAATATCCAAATCTGTTGCACGAAGACGATACAGCGTCTCCTCTGGCAACAGGAGATTTCCGTTCATCGATAGGAGCGATAGATTTTGCTGGAAAGTGTCGCTCAAGAGTCCAAATGACAGCAAAGAACTTACTACATCAGACGTTAGTTTGATGTCGAGATTACCTTGGTCAATGTGTGTTCCTTTATGAATCTGTGCCATCGGTATTCCGTCCAGAACCTGCGAGATGTACTTCAATCGGTCGGGAGAAGATCTTGGTTTTCCATTCCGGGTTGGAAGTGCGCCATTGGAATATTCTCTACTGATTGACGGATCGTGCGCTGTATGTAGACCGGGTATGAAAACAACAACTTCTTCGTCCTTCGAGTTCGGGCTCCCGTTGTAGGAAAGGCTGTCTCGAATGAATGCCAATGGATTGTCCATCGAAAAGACAACGTCCGATTGAAGCGACGCGGCACGATTGAGAGTCTCTTCGTTTTCTCCCTTGGTCTCCGGCAACTCAGAATTATGATCGGTGAATACCGTAAATCGACCGTCGTGCCCCATATCTCGGCTATATTCTCTCACAAACATTCGATACGGCGCAACACTGGGTGGGAGCGGTCCATCGTGATCCAGGGATTGCACAGGGGAAACGGGGGTCTTCCTGGGGAGAATTGTTGGGGCGTTGCATGGTGTACCGCTGTCCTCGGGCTTGCCATCGCCCTCGTCGGCATTTTGATTCCTTGCCGCTAAAGCGGCGGCACTAGCAGCGGCATCATATACATTCATCAACGGGATGAACATCGCCTCCATGGATGGGTCACTCGACAGCAGTACCTCTGGATTCCAATCCAGCATAATAAGATTATCACTCGTGTCTCGCGAATATATTTCTCCATCTTCGTCCTTTTGATTACCAAATTGGCTTTCGGCAAACACTCGAAGGTTTCTGGACGCAGATTTGGGCAGCCGCCCGACTTGTGTCTGGCCGACGAAATAATTCGAAAAGGCATTGGTCGAATAGATGTTTCCGGCGATCAAGGCCATCGTTGCTATCACAATTACCACCGGTGAAAATATACCGACTAGCATCATATTGAACAAATTATTGGAGCGCTGGCACTTGTCATTCCAAAATTAAAAAAATACAATATGTTTGTGTTCTGTTTTCGTAGAGCCACAGCCCAGTCGCAAGATATGAATGGAGTCAAAGAACCACCGCCGCGAGTTGTAAGATCAGGTTGCTGCTACCAACACTAAAACAAACAACAAGATAGTCTCTTTGCTGACTGAATCCATTACTTATTCATTCGACCGCAATACGTTTTCATGAGAACCCAACGGTAACAGTGCGGGTATCATCTTGCTCACCTCTCGTCTCGAGTTTCTTTTGAGATGGTCGCGGGGCGTGGGGTTCAGATTATTTTTGTTCGATCTTGTGCAGAGCACGATCGTCCGTTTGCTTCACAAAACACGAGTTTCCAACGCGAAGAAAGCGTGTCACGAAGGAATATTTGCATTCGAATCTTCCAATGAAATCCAATCACTTCTCATCTTTGATGTATGGAATTCAATTTTGAGTTCATTCGCTTCGGAACCCACGGGCCGCGATGATACTATCGTGAAACGTGGTCTTCGGTTTCGAATTCAGAACATCATTGGGTCATTCCCGTTATTATAAATTTCTAAAAAAGAAGCAGGACAGACTGCCAGAACGCCAAGTTGTTTTAAGTTACTACAGGTACGTAGTAGTAGTACAATCGAGCGTTAGGAAATGACAAATTTAAGCTTAAAAACTGCTAACATACTATCACCAGGTACGTACTAGTAGGTAGTACTAGTATGCTAGCCAGCAACAAACAACAAGAACAAGCAGAGGAGCAAGAATAATTGGAAAGTCTAGTAGTACTAGTAGTAGTGTTAGTATTTTTATGTTTGTGCATTCTTCTACTACTAGTAGTACTACTAGTAGTAATACTACTTCTTGATGCCCGTAGGATATCATATCATATATGTGACTCATAGCTATGATACATATCTATGATTCATATACACTCTACATACACAATTCACTTAATCCTTTGKAGGATCTTCACAATTGACTTGACTCATTAGATTCTAACACATTACTCCATTTCCACTTTGATTGTTTGTCAATTGTCAATAGTAACAATAGGATTGACTCACTTTTCTTAGTCACTCCCACAGGTTCTTATGACACCCTCCTTCCAACAAAAATTGCCATCCTCACCATGATGATTTTTTTGTGCACTCTCTCCTCACACCAGTCTACCACATGCAATTGCCCACACCTTTGGTGGTAAAAAATAAAATTAATCACTGTCATCAACATGGGTGACATCATCTTTCAACAATGTTGACAATTGCTGATCTTCGACAATTCTTTTACTTGTTTCAACATCATCCATTGAGTGAACAATACTCCCCATTGTTAACACCCCATCATTCTCATTATTCTTGACACAATTGAAATTTTGTTCTCTTCTTTCCAAAAATTCAAAACCTTTAACAGTATTCCCACTTCAAATGATATCTCACACAAACATGCATGCCCATGCCCAATGGCAGGAAATAGTATAATTGGCTGCTGTGCAACCAATGACAAACAGCACTTTCATATACTGTCAGCAAACTCAAAAGTGACACTGTGTACCTAGTAAAGAAGATCAACTGGTCTGCAATCTATATTGATGCAACCAAATTCTCCTTCAATGTCTACTAAAACTTTGCTATTTTCTCAAATACTCCATTCCCCACTCCCCCTGGTGCACGCAACCCTGGTCCTGCCAACCCTGCTAACCTGCTGGCTCCTCCACCTGTTAATCCAACAAACTTGTAATCTACATTACAAGGCGATCCCCAGTAGTGCCTTTCCAAATCATTTTTGCATAGTTTCAATTTCCTTTTAATTTCATGCCACCTTGTACATGTCATTGTGTTTGCAATGTCCTCATTGAATGAAAGATCTTTCGCATCCCATCTATACTTGATATTTGCACTTGCTCCTTCACAAGCTCCATGCATAAAAAGGATTCCATCAAAATGAACTGCTTCAGGTAAGGTCACAGGTTTCACTTGGTGTCCTTCTCCTTCATTTGAATCAGAGATTTTGACATTACTATATCGCATCACCTTGTTATAATAAGTATGTTTCTTCTCTGGTTCATTTTGGTAACGCTGAGCTTCCATTGAGTCTGGAGCAATAGGTAGCAGCAACTCATAGAAGAAGAACATATCTCCATTTTCAATTTGATCTTTTGTGAACCCATGCTGCTGAAGCTTGATGATATCCAACTTTGCCTTCCTTTTGTCTGGAAACATTTTATCGCTAGTAGCAAACTTCCTTACAATGTCATTGTTAGGATCTTCTGCCTTACCATCCCACAAGAGGTAATGAAACTTCCACCCGTTTTCCTCCCTGATGGGTTCCTTGCCAAGACCAGCTAAGTTTTTAGGAATTTCCATAGGCTTACACTCAGAAGGAAGGAAGTGACCTTTGTATTTCCCCGTACCTGCTTTGAACTTGGGCCTGTAGTAATATGGGTGCCAGCCACCAGGATTGTCAACATCATTCCAGTCTTTGGGTTCTCCTTTGTTGACCTTTGGATCCTTTCTTTCATAACCTAGTGGAACCTTTGGATAGTTAAGACTGCTATCAACAATAGTTCCATTTGCCCAATAATAGAATTCAGTATCATGAGGCTCAATCGCATTGTCCAAGTTCCAAGCTGTTTGGCTTTGAGTGATTACATTGAAGAACTCTCCTTGTTCTGCCTCCTCATGACTCATTCCAGAAGCTTCAGAATCATAATTATGCTCAGTAACTTCAATAACCTCTTCATCACTTGAGCTTTCATCATCCTCAAACAAAGTTTCCACATCCAATTCTAACTCAAACGCTGCTTCAAAGGCTGTTGACTGGGACTTGACGAGTGCCCTTGTTGCTGTTCTTCTTGATGGTTGTTGTATTGTCCAAGGTTGTTGTGTTGTCCTTGATGAACGTCAGTTCGTTATGTTGTTGAGAGGCATCCTTGAAAGTATTGTTGATAGTGTTGCTGATAGCATTGCTGATAGTGTTGCTTAGTGTCCGTACAAGTGTTGGTGAGCAGTGCTGCGTCATTCTCATTGTTGATAGTGTCGATTCGTTGTCCTTGGTTGCTTCCTTGTGTCAATAGCTGGTGAGTGTTGCTGATACTGTTGCTGGAGATGAACTGCTGCTGTATAGTGTTGCTAATGAGTGTTTTGAGTGTTGCTGATTAGTGTCAGTGGAGGGGGGCAAGCAGATGTTGGTTGTTGGAACAAGAAGAGCTTCCACTGGGATAATGGTAGCTTTAGCACATGGTTGTGAGGACTCCTCTGTGTCTGATAATTGACAACTAGTTGCCTTGCTGCTATCAACATCATGTAATAACATGAAGGATCAGTATTGGTGCAACACTGGATGGTATTTCAGGTAAATACTATGTTCATCAAGAATATATTTCCGAGACGTTGACTGACATCAAGACAAAATTTCCATAGAAAAAATGGTGGATTTGGACAAGATTTCTTGATGTCAGTAGGTGCGCTTGGCATATTTTACTTGGGAAATACGTAGCCCAAAATGTACAACTGTATGCTATACAATAGTAATAATAATAGTATTGAAATAAATGAGTGAAAGATGGTACTTTGGACAATTATAAGTATAGTAGTAGTACTAGTATTGAAATAAATGAGTTTGATAAAATAAAACTATTGAAATTTCCCAAATATTGAGCTTAATCCAGCTCAAGATGTGCAAACTGTACAATTGTTTTGGAATGTCCCATCATGATACTACTACCACCAGCTGTGTCTGTATAATTTAAATTGAGACAAGCAAACACATCATCTGCTGTTCTTGTTCCAGCTAGATCTCTTGGTGTTAGAGCTGCTCCCTTAAAGGTCTCACACACCAGATATACTACCACTAGTATGATATCAATTGAATTTCAATCAATTGCCAATGACAAATTAGCTGGATGGATGGCTGAGTTTCTTGTTGACAATTACACAAGATTAATCCCCACCAAACCCTGCATGCTCTGGATGCACTTATATCTTCCAATTGTCCTCCTGCTCCCACCACCACCAACAGTACCAAGAATTCTGTAATACTACTACTTACTGTAGTAGCCAAAGTACTAGACTACTTTGCCCTGCTTATTGATGGTGGGCAGTGGCATTGTGGTGTCACAACAATCGATATGTCATTTCATCAGCAAAGGAGAAAGGGTTCAAAATTAAAAAATCTAAATATTACATTCAACCTTGTGAACTAGAAGATTTCCAATGCTCTTAGTCACTCTGAGGGGTGGCACCTTCCTCCAAGGAAGTATGGTGGAGGTATGACTGGAGGAAGGGTTTGAAATAGTTTGTGTGTCAAAAGAGGCAGTCCTACTAGTACAAGAAAAGAATGGCACAAGAAACAGGAACACAAAGAGGATCCATCATCTGGTTTGTTGTTGTGGAAGATGTCAATGGTGGTTCCCCCTAGTGCTAGCACTACTAGTAGTAATTGAGATGCAAAGATAGCCCAGCCTGGTGTTACTTGTCCTAGTAGTACCCTTCATATGTTTGGCCTTTACCTCACAAAAAACAGGAAAAGGATTGCAAGCACTACTAAAAAAGTATTTCTCACTCATCAGGAACTCCTAGTATGATGTTCTATTTTGTTGACTACAAAAACAGATATATGCTACACAAGAACTTCCCCATCTTGCCAACATCTTTTGACTTTTTGGCTGAAGTGTTAATTACCACTAAAACCATGAAATCAGCCTTTAGTATGCTTACTATCTTCAAAGCAACAATCAACCTCGATTGCATGTAGTACAGCTTTCCTCTTCTAGAATGGTCAGATAGATTGTTGAATAGAAGAACAGGATCTTTTGCCTCCTCATTCTTGGTTTTGTAGATTGCAACCTGTATCACAAAAAGTCATTGTTGCAGCCTAGCATAGTACTATCTCATCATATCTAAATAGTATGGGTTTAACAATGGTTCTGTCTGTAAAGTGTAGGGGACCCTACCAGGTTTTATGCAAAAAATTAGACACAACTTGCACTCACCAAACAAATCCACCTCAACATGACCATGGGAATCACAATATCTCTGCAACCAGAGCATTCTAAGACAAGATGAGGATACTGTTGAAGCGCTCCCTCTTCTTACTAAGGTTGCCTAGTAATATTCTTGTTCTAATGGAGGAACAAGAACTCTTATTTAAGTGCTGATCTACCAAGAAGGGCAAAAATGCAAGAAATTTTTGTATTCACCCCCAGCAAATGCAGGAAGAACACCAGGAACAAAGCTCCCCTCGGCAATTGCAATTGGTTGGCTCTAACAAGCATTATCAAGTTACTACTACTACTAGGACTACATCTTATCATTATGATTGGGGATGACTTGGTTGTGAATTAATTTTCTGACAAATGCTGACTATGGTAGTGATTGATTGTGCAAGGTGACGAGAAGTAGTACTAGTAGCTAGTAGATTGGTGATTGATGATGTTTGTTCAACGAAGAATTGAATTGGTGCTGACAGTGTTGGTTGGGCTGAGGAGGAGGGCTGTTGGGGTATTGTTGCCATTTATTCTTCTTCTTCCTGCTGTACTAGCTAGTAGTACTTCTTCCTGCTGGTGGTGTGTGTTTGTGTTGCTGTGGTGGTCATTGTTCTTAATGTGGTTTTCAGCAGTGTTCATTACTACTACTACTACTACTACTACTACTACTACTACTACTACTACTACTACTACTACTACTACTACTACTACTACTACTACTACTACTACTACTACTACTACTACTACTAGTTCATCTGATGTACTAGTAGGAGGACTACTACTACTACTACTAGTTCATCTGACATACTAGTAGGAGGACTACTACTACTACTAGTTCATCTGACATACTAGTAGTAGGAGGACTACTACTACTAGTAATAGTACTACTAGTACTACTAATGAAAAAAATAATTATGGTTTGGGAAAAGAACAATGGAAGAAGAACAGTTCCTGAAAATTGTGTTTGATATGTGGGAATTGAGAGGTAGTATGAGGGGTACTGGTTTGGTACACCAACTTGGGCTATCTCCTCAGTCTCTTCGGCCAGTCACTAATGAATCCCTCTGATGTCTCAAAAAAGAGAAAAGAGACATTATGTCTTTGGACTTCGTTTTGTGCTAACCAAGAAGGCAGGGCCATTGTTGTACTTTCGAGTGCCTCTCGATGATGACGACAGAACTTGCTTCAGAGCTCAAATAATAATCTATCTGCTGTACGTAGTTTCCAGTTCTCTTCAATTTTTTGAGTATTTCTCGTCTTCACAAGGTTACTTTTACTTTTGAGTCTGTACTGATACGGTTTGCGGCATAATCCGTCTTCATCGTTGGCTGACCCTGTGATCATTCGTTGGTTGGCATAAAAACTTGATTTTACTAGGCTGTACATGGTTGATATCAAGACCTGAAATTTCGGTCAGGAGTTGTAACGAAAAAATCAAGGAGAATCGACTCGTCTGCTGAAAGCTTTGGTGACCCATGTCAGAGGATACATCGATGCTCGCTGAACAACCTCAGGCACAAGCGCCACGCGCCAGCAAGAGTTCCATCAGAAAGACTGATGAATTCAAAATGCAACCATGTAGCTGGAGTTTCCATTTGTTCTTTTGGGGTTTTGTCGCCTTGCTTCGTGCCGCCGTTGGCTACCAGCCACACTCGGGACAAGACAATTACCACGGTAGTCTCGAAAAAGGAGCATACGGAGGGGATTTCGAGGCGCAGCGGCACTGGATGGAACTGACTATAAATCTTCCTGTCGGCGACTGGTATTGGTACGAAACAGGATACTGGGGGTTGGACTATCCTCCACTGACGGCATATGTTAGCTGGATCTGTGGTTGGGCGTCGTATTACATCGTGGGGCCGGAATCGGTCGCCCTCGATCTGTCCCGGGGAATCGAAGATCTTAATCATAAATCCTTCATGAGAGCAACAGTTCTGGTATTAGACCTATTGATTTATGGGCGAGCGGTTTGGTATGCCACCTACGAAGGAGATCGAAAATCCCTCTGGACGATCCTGATAGCCCTTTGTCAGCCAGCGATATTGTTGATCGATCACGGGCATTTTCAATACAATACCGTTGCGCTTGGCCTAAGCATTTCGGCATTTTCCCAGATGGTAAAGATTAATTTTTCGTCTTGCGTGTGGGGGGGATTTTTCTTCGCAATGGCACTCAATTTCAAACAAATGACACTTTATTACGCTCCGGTGGTGTTTTTTTACCTCTTGGGACGATGCACAGCTGGTTCTCGATGGCGGTGGTTCTTTCCCCGGATTCTGTGGCTTGGTGGAGTGGTGCTGCTGACTTTTTGTGTCTTGTGGGAACCTTTTGTGAAGTATCCCCCGTCCAACCAAACACCGATCCCAAATCAGCTAGAGCGACTAGAACACGTCGTGCGCCGGATATTTCCTTTCGAAAGAGGTCTGTTCGAAGGCAAAGTTGCCAATCTATGGTGTGCCCTGAATACTTCTCCATTGAACATTCGAGATCGGATCCCAACGGAGACGCAACCACTTCTGGCCATGTTTATGACGAGCGTTCTCATGTTTCCGTCGTGTTGGAAAGTCCTAAACGTTGGTTTAGATGATCCTTCCTCGGTTGTAACCGTAAGACGCCATTGGGTTTTTATGTTATGGGCGACTACTTCGTGTGCCCTAAGTTTCTTTTTGGCAAGCTTCCAGGTTCACGAAAAGAGCATTCTACTCGCAGTAGGACCTTGCACCTTGCTCTTTTGGGAAGACCCCGTCTTCGTTGAATGGTTTTCTTTGGTCAGTGTCTGGACCCTGTATCCCCTTTTTCGAGTGGATCGTCTTCAGGTAGCATATTGGTGTGTCGTCGTAATCTTCGCTTCAATGGTATGGTTTCGCCACATCAGCATGGGTCAGAAGAAAATCGACACAATATTTTCTGATACATCCATGCTACGGAAGATCCCATATCTAAGCTACGTGGGTATGATTGGTTTGCATGCTGCACAGGCACTCATTCCAACTCCATCTAATTTACCGGATCTGTATGAAGTCTTGTGGAGTGTGGCTGGATGCGGAATGTTTTCAATAGCTTGGCTCGCCACGATCATCAAACTATACTACTCGTCGTCATCAGGCCCACCAACCATATTGAAAACGAAAGGCGACTGATTTTTCAAAAATGTGAGAAATTTAAACTAGGCTATAATATCATGGAATGGTATCTTTTGATTTATGAGTCTTTCGAAGCTAGCATTGTTTTGAAGATTTAAGCTGACTACGGGAACTTAGTTTTCTAGATTTCATATTAGAGTATTCATATTCTTTGCTACTTCATCATCGTTACAGCTTCTAGTTACACCAGCAGTAACACAACTGAAATAAAACAAATTGTTGGACACACTAGTAGTGTCTCAGTTTTGGATGGGTCCTTCTAATGATTATAATACAATTGATTATTGTACAGTACCAGCATTTTCTGAGAAAGAGGGGAGTGTGGGCAAAACAATGTGTGTTGGAAAGCCTCTGAAATTTGAAAGTCTGAATTTTGGTGAATAATTTTTAAGGAATTGCTGTTTTCAAATAAACAGTTTTGTGGTGTTGCAGTGGGGAATTATTTCGGATATGGAGATTTTGAAGATTTTCTATGCAATGATGCACATCAAAACTAGGGTCCACCTGCTGGTATTCTCAGAGCAGACGAAGTTTATGGCAATATGCCCTGCTCTTGCTCTGTCATCAGTAGATTGGGCTATGATTTGTTTGAAGTCCATGTGCATCTTGTGTGTACAGCTCAGTTGTGTTCAGGGCCTGAGCCAGATTGCTTCCTACCTTGTGCATGACAAGAATACTGCTACTCTACTAAGAAGAAATGATACTACTATTGATTTACTTTGATTGAAGTGGGGACTACTAGCTTGCAAATATTTACAGTCTCCAACAATCTTTCTGTAATCTGGAGGACTGCTGCTCCACGACTGGTGTCAACTTCTAGTGTTCTTGGATATGGACCATGTAGGTAATCTTTCAGCAGATAGTTTAGTTGGATTGTAGATATTCACATAGGTTCTGAGGGTGTCTACTTTAGAGGGGGGTCTTTGAACCATATGATAGTATCCTCATTTGTTTTTGGATTACAAGTGCAGGGTAACATACCTACTTGGACTTAATTGGCAGCTCAATCACACCTTCGTCACATAAAGTTTGGCACTCTTCTACTGTAAAACCTTTACAATGTTGGCATGGTACTGGATAGGGCTACTTCATCTGAACCTGGCGGTGCTGGTGTATTACATCACCAAGATCTATGAAGATCATTTTGAGTGGGTGTCAGCAGAGCCTTCCCATCAAACATTGCTAACTAGAGTTTTGCTACTTTGGTTTGAAATGACTGATTCCTCTTTTCTTTGCTCTATACAGTAGTACTCTTAGTGGTAGAACAATGTCCTCATTGTGGTGGCTTTTCTCTTGGTTGTCTTTCCATCATTTATCAGCATAATGGTGAGAGCCTTATTGATGAATGGCATGTCATTTGAGTCCTTCTTTTCCTGAGATTCTCTGCAAAAGAGTAGCTTGATTTAGCTTGTAGTACTATTAGTGGTGCACTAGTTCACCATGTGACTTCTTCTTGCAGTCAGTACTGATACTACTGGTGTGCACAAAATGATCATGCATGTTTGAAAATTCTTTTGCAGAAATTTGAGGTTATGAATTTTGACAAAGGTACTACTACTACCCTTTTTGTTGTTGTTACTACTAGTGCTAGGAGGAGTATTGGTACTACTACTATTGTTGATAGTATTATACTAGTAGTACTAGCTAGTAATACCAGTGCAGTGTGGTGGTGGAAGCATTTAGGGTGATGATATTTTGGCAGCGGTTGAGGATGCACAGCAATGTTGGAAGTTCCTCCTTGTTCATCTTTGGCTGGTGGCTGGCCCAGCCAACAAAGAAAGAAATTTGGGTCCACCCACTGGTGGCTGTTACTATTCTCAGCAGAGCAACAGGCATCTGCATCATTGATTGTATGCTGTACTACTGGTGTGCCCTCTTCTTCCTCCTCTTGTTCTTGTTCTTGTTCTAGTTATTGTTGTTCTTGCTCCTCTGACATAACAGGAGGAGGCACCACCACCAGCAGACAAGAAGAAGCAACAGGAGATACTAGTACTAATGTGGTTTTGTTTGTTGAAGAAGTCCATGCTTGTGCTGTGTATTCTTCTGGCTGTCCTCTGGGTGTGTTCCTGTGTACACCAGCAGCTCCTCATCCTCATCCTCAGCTTCTCCTCAGCTGTGCTCATCCTAAGAAAAGAAGCCAGCAGGGGGAGGGCCTGGTGGTGGTGGTGGTGGTGGTGGCCCTGGTGATCAGCAGCACAACAACAAGAAGCAGCAGAAGAAACAAGAAGAACAAGAAGCTGCACTTCTTGTTGCAAAGATTACTTTTTTATCACCAGAAGAACAAGACATACTACTACTAGTACTACTATATAGTTATGCTAGTAGAATTAGTACAATTTCTCTACTTATTAAAAATGGACAGGGAATTTTCTTTTTCATTGCATCCCATACGAAACATGGGGTCTGCGGAAATCTATCTTTCAACACATCAAAATCGACTTCGTACTCGTACCGAGACGTCCAGCGGTATCGGTACCTACGCGTACTAAGCATCAAAACCATCTTCTTTTTGGCTTTTAGTCGGACAAACACAAAAATATGAGTTAAATAAAAATATACGTATCGGTATAAATTATTATCACATCCGACAATTTTATCATGTGATTTGTTGGATGGCGCGACACATCGGATTTCTAGAATTTCTAGAACTTGGAGAGAGTTCGTACCTACAAACAATACGTTTCTACGTATTTTTGTCCAATAGCCAAAGTCGCACCTACCGGGTACTGTCCTCGTGCTTTGACAAAAGAATGTCATCTCTCTTGTTCTGAACCCTCATCCAGACTTAGTTATTGGGTCACCGCAGTAACTGCTCAAACCGTCGACTTGAAAGCGAACAACAAAAAGAAATAGATTTCCGTTCTCTGGCAAGAGAGTTTCTATCGACCGACTTTCAAATGTCTCACACAGTTCAGTAGCAAATCAACACTCGCAGTCCTTCCTTTTTGCCTCTGTTTATCTAGTGATCGCGATATTGTACGAACAAACGAAGCGGGTGATTGCCATTCCCATCATCACAGCAGCCCACGGCGTCCCGGAAGGCGTAGAGGTCGCAATTGCAGCACTGCCGCATTAGTTTACCAATCATTGTAAGGTCACCCCTCGACGAAAATAGCAATTGCCTGCATGATGACGGAACGACGTGCCTCTGCGCTGAGACCCAGCACAAGAGGTAGCGGTGGCCTTGTCAATGGAAATAAAATTCAAAACGTAAGCTTTTCGGAAGATCCTATGGATCATATACCAAAGAAAGCACAAGAATTACGACTTTCCTCCCCAAGCAATGGATCATCTCCAAGACGCACTAGTTTTCTCAAACGAAACAAGAAGTCAAGCAAAGACAACGGCGACAAGGACACTTCCATTGCAACAAATGGCAAAGAGAACAATCATAACAAAGCAGGCGGTAACAGCATTGAAATAAAATTGAAAAATCCAACAGGAAGCAGCGGCGCCAGCAGTCCTCGTAAATGGGGCAGTCGACGCTTCAAAGGATTCTCGCTTTTTGGAGGCAGCGGAGATCAGCGGAATGGCTATGGAACGCTGAACGACAGCAATAACTACGAAAACGACGGAGAGGTTACGACCGCGGTGGAAGTGGATCCGGTTATGACCATTTTCGAATCGCGCAATACCCAGAGAGTACGCTTCACGCTAGCGGGTGATAGTAATGAAAGTGTGATTAGTGGAGGCGGCCTCAGTCGGAATAGCAGAGATCACCAGAAAAACACTAAGAGAGGAGAGTCTTCGAAAAATGCAAACAGCGGCAGCGGCAGTACGGGGAACGTCAAGCAATTTATGTCCCGAGCTCTCTTTTGGTCGAAGTCTTCAAGCAAGAAGCTATCAGAAGAGGAAATGAAGCGAGAGGCGAAAGAGCTCGGTTGCGGCCCATTGATTTGGGAAAGCGCGGCCACGCCAACCGGACCCGAAGTGATTCATACGAAAAACAATCGAAACAACAACCAAAAACGTAACCAGAAAACTCCAGAGCTCACAGTCAGTTTCACTGAAGACCCCAAGGCACGAGCAGCTGTATCAAAAATTCTAGCCAAGGCCAGTAGTGCGGAACACGTACATTTTCGGTACGAATACGCCGTGAAGTGTTACTTGAAGGCACTCACTATTCTCCAGAAACAGGCAAAGTACCCAGATGATCATCCTACAGTTGTCAAGACGGTTCGTCTGATGAACAACGCTCATAACGTATTGATATCGTACAAAAACTCAGCAAATATTGTGAAGATGGGTATCAAGAATGAGGATGCCGGTGAACTCGTCAAGGCCCTGAAGATGTACACCATCGCCTACCGTATTCGAAGAGATAATTTGAGTCGGAATCATCCTAGTCTTGTGGTCCTTCTTAATATGTTGGGAAGCATTCAAATTAAGAGGGGAGAATTATTGGAAGCAATGCAAATTTATGAATTAGCTCTGAGCGACGATTCGACTGTAGTGCCGGAAGCGCCAACGGAGAGCGCTGCTCCTCGCCATCAACAACAGCAAATAACAACGAAGGACCGAAATTTGTTGGCGAAAAGCGTTACCTTTCGTGAAATGGGAACCATATATGAAATGTGGGGAAATGTCGACGAAGCTCTCAAGTTTTTCCACAAGAGTCTTGAATGTGTTGCAGAATGGAGAGAATCAGTCCGAAGCAGTTATAAGAGCAGGAATAGAATTGTTAAAAATACTGATGGGGGATGTGACAATGGCAATGATGATGAAAAATCGGGTAGCATATCTTTGAGGACAAGTAGCACAGAATCTCAGCACTACTCAATTGATATTGTTCAAACAGTTTCCAGTAACATTGGTGACTCAGAAATGGAGCTCGTATTCGGATCAAAGGGATCACCAAAGAATTGCAGTGAATCCAACTCCAAATCAAGAAACAAATACGAGAGGTTTTTTCCTAACGAGATTGACCTCAAGGCTAAAGATGGAGTCAAGAATTCTGATGAAAACTCACATGCCGATATGGATTTGTCGCTCACGCTGCATCAAATTGCGCGTCTATACTGCTCTCAAGGGAAGTTCGATAGAGCACTTGATGCCTACGAAGCAGCTCTTCGAGGAATGAAGACGGCATTGGGCAAGCACCATCCGAACGTAGCTGCAGTTCTTGGAAACATTGGAAATCTTCAAAAAGAAATGGGAGATTTGGATGCAGCGTATAAAACATATCAAGAAGTACTCGGTATAGAATCGTACAGACTTGGTCTTAGTCATCCTGACGTAGCCATTACACTGCACAATATTGCAACCATTGATGCTGCTCGAGGAAATTACCAACATTCTCTTCAACTCTATCAGAAAGTTATAGGTCTTCAAAAGCAGTTGTTTGGCGAAGATAATATATCCGTTGCGGTGACAGCTGCGTGCATGGGAGACGTGTACGAAAAAATTGGGGAGCTCAAAAGTTCGATGACTTCGTTCGACGAAGCAGTGAGAATCAAGTCGTCTGTTCTGGGCCGTCACTCCTTAGAGGTCGGACGCCTTCTACACAAACTCGGCAAACTTTCCTTTCTATCGACTGATTATGTCGAAGCAGAATCATATATTTCTCGAACAGTACTCATTTATAGACTGAACAAGCTTGACGAACACCACGAATGGTTTGTCGACGCTAATCGAGACTCCGCCGACATTGATGGTGCCCTTGCGCTTGGAGTAGCTGACCAGTGCGAAATTTGAAATCGCAAATTCCAGCTATTATATATCGATGCCAATATTGTTATTTATTATAGACGAAACACACTTTGATACAAGCCTGTACATTGACATCTAGAAATATCCAATGCGGACGCAGCGATGGAATATCTCTTCAGTTTTTCCTCCAATGAGTGTCCATTGGTACTGGCATTTTCCGCCATCAATCTCGTTGTTTGATTTTAGAGATGACACATACTCAGAAATAAGACCGTCTACTGACACCGCACAATTTTAGATTCATAGTTAAATCCAGGGAGAAAAAGTGTGAATTGATAATTTGGATCATTTCCCTCCTTACTGATGAATGTGCTCGTTGACGTCTGCGGCCAGATCTATCTCGTTATGCTTTTGGAAAGAGAATTATTCTATTTAAAAAGTGATCTGAAACTGCTTTGGGTCAGACATTTTTCCCTCCTCGAACAGATCATTGCTATGAAGGTATCATTCAACTTGCTCGATATCGCCGAGGCCAGTGGAATAGATTGTGCTATATTTTTCAGGCGAAAGCACTTTTGATCGAACAAAATTTAAAAAATGATTAACGTTATCTCAAGTCCAAAACGTCCGGGACAAGTCCATCGTCTCGAAACAAATAATTTAAGTATTCTTCTGGACAGGTGTCATCCCTCATTCGATATTCAGGTTCTGTAGTCTTCTTCTTGCTTTCCCAGCTCAGTGATACGCGATCAAAAAGCAAACCTGATGCAGCATGCAACGCCTGCATTTCCCCAAAGCGAACGTGATATAGAGTCCAGTTTTTGCTTCCATATTCATTGCGATTCAGAGCAGATAACCTTCTGTATTCAAATTCGATCTTGCCCTGTACTTCCATATTCACAAACCTGGTACCAAACCATCTCGACATACACATAAAGGAACGAAATTCTAGGGCATCGCTCACTTTGTTTCCAATTCGAAAACTAAGATTACCGACATTCTCCTTCAAAACTTGCACCGCATTTCCGTCAAAGTCCTCATTGATGAGTGATATAACCCTGCAAGTCTCCTGCAACTGTTGGAATCCTTGTAGCATAGATAAATGTCTAGGAAAATCTGGAACCCTCTTCGTGATTGGAATATCTGTCGAGTGGGCAGGCAATGATTTAGGGTTGGGAGGTCGAATGACGACATTCCACCTGTCATATTCATTTGCTATGCTAACGAGATGTTGCAATTTTAGCTGCTTCAATTCTGCTTCGCCGGGATGCGTTGATGGCCCCGAAATGCATTCCGGATATCCATCGTCGTATCGCAAGTACTTCGCAAGTCCTTCCCGTTGGTAGTTGCTAAACTTTGCAGTAGTCCCTGTATCTGGTATGTAATCGTATTGATTCGAAATATTGAGTTTCATCATCTCGTGATGAAACGCTAAACCTAATTGAATTGCGCCGCTACCATCTCCATTGACAAATCCATATCGTGCATACAAATGTGCGTCTGCCATGACACCATATGACGCCTTGTGTGCATTTTGCAAGACAAGTTAGCAAAACACAACACAACACAACGCAGCGAATAGCACAGTGCATCATGAAGAAGTAAACAATTAAAAAATACGTACATGTAAGAAACGTCATTTTGGCAGAACAGCGTACGGCACACGTCTCTGGGGGTATAGTCACTTACCATTGGCTCCGAGTACGGCTCGATGATCCTGTTGCTCGATGAAACTACGAATGATCTTCCTGACTTCTGTTTGGTTTGCGCGTGAGTTTCCATCCTCTTGTATTGCAATCCTATGTTGTTGTTTGGATGGTGATTGAAAAGGTCAGCGATCGGGACCATTGCGATACACCCTTGGCCTCCCGCTTCTGTGAGGTTGACATTGATCAGATCATAATAGGAATACAATTCATCCAGAAAGAGGTCTTGGTCCCGGAATTCATCTCCGACAAAGGCAGCTGGCATTACTTCTTCGGGTCCCGGTGGACCGACGTTCAGTGCTCTCGTCAAGACCGCTAGTCGAGCTCGAAGATATTCGTCTTCGGGAATTGTGTTCCTGAATTCCGAAGATCCCGCAGCAAATCCCTCGTACTCCGACCTGACCATATTGCGATAACCTTGTACAACAGAATGTGCCATGGACCGCGGTCCTAGCATATCTCTCACTAAATCCTTATCTTCCAAAATGGGATGATAATGCTCGAATTCTTCGAACGTTGGTAAAGAATCAAAGTATAACAGGGTCAACGGATCGAAATTCGATGGATTGAGCTTTGCCCTTTTTATTTCCAAAGACAGATAGGCAGCCAGAAATGCTTCGGTGCCCATCCGATTACCACTAATCTTGTGACCAGCTTTGAAAAGGTGCTTTCGTACGAAGGGGTCTCGATAGGCGTCTAAATCCCAAATTTGCATCGACCGTGGAATCTCATAAAGTTTTGTATCGACCTCAATGGGCGCTGTGGCTCGCAGGGTGCGACCAACGACCTTCAGGGATTTGTGGCAAACGATTTCTTTGCATGCTTCAGATAGCAATGCTGCTATCCGTGGATCTGGAGGGTCCCATGTGTGCTCCTCACTCACCGTGAATTGCTTTTCCGTGCTTGATTTGCATTTATCGTCATTCTTCTTGTTTGAATTGTTTTGGTTATTGCGGTTGCGGTTGCGAGTGTTTGGGGTCATGACATCGTCTGCGAAAGCTTGTTTTTGCTGATGTTCTTTTCTCCATCTCTCTTCTGCTTTTAGTATTACTGGTGACGATCCCCTTTGCACAATGAGTACAATCCCCCCAATCCCTAGGATTACCCAGCAGAATAGCACCTGAAGTATGGTCTTACTGGTCAAGGATGAATGGGCAACGCGCGGCTTATTTCCTTTCTCTTTCTTGGACAAGTTTCCGCGTTTCCTCTTGCCACTGCTAGTGCCATGATTGTTATTACTTGACGCCATTGGTTTCTATTATTAGATGCTTTCGTCACAACATTCAGGGTACGTACTTGCCGATATTGTACCAGTTTCTGTTTCCAAGTCCGTTCATGTTGTTGAGATTGAGATTCGTGTTGTGTAAAATCTTCGTCGTTACTAAACGCGGTGTCTGGCATCTACCGGTAGCAATCGTACTCGTACTTCGTACACATGTCATTATCTTGTTGAGACTTCGATGCAGGACCGACCGGTTGCGCGCCAAAAAATCATACAGTAGCTTTCAACTTGGATAATTTAATTAAGCCTCTCCGAAAAACTGAAAGACCAAAAATCTACTGTAATGAACGCGCCGTACTTCGGTCAATTTTTTGATTTCTGATTTCACCTTTCGGGCAAGACTTCTTTTCTCAATGTTTCCATGACATGTCTTTCTCTCAACCTGCTGTGACGAAGAATGCAACAAATGAAACATCATCAAATTCCAATGCAGCTTTAGATTGAAAGAGACAAGACAATTGTTCAAGCAGAACAGTAGTGATTGAAACTGTGTTCGTAGCACTAGTACTGTACTAGTACTACAAAAATGATGATGTCATTGGCTGGTGGTGCTGCTGAAGAGCTTGTTAGTACTACTACTAGTACTGCCACCACCAACAAGAACAATGATGGTGAACATAGTAATTTCTCAAGCAAATATAGCAGTACTATACTAACCCACAATTGCTGCACGAGATTACGTGTACTCTTAGTATTTTAAGTGTGTATGAAAATTGAATTATAAGATTAGAATTATTCGAAGATTACCAAGCGCGTTCACGAGAATTYYRAAGTTCCGATTGGAACCTCATGTAGACCTGGTAGGGATYCTACATGGAGGTTCTCTGTTCCGGACTCGTGACATCTCTATTCTTCGTGAGGTATTCTTGAATGGTATCTTAGACCTCTTACAGTCCTCGGACCTCTTACGATGGATCCTATGATCTATACATATAAACAGTACCTTACGATGGGTACGTAGGAATGGTATGCTCCTTCATTCTTTTCTTGTTCGAAGCTTCGTATCGTACGTATACTTCCGATACAGTACGTACGTATGCTTCCTTTCCAATACGTACGTATCATTCTCAGTACGTACGTATCCATTGCATTGTCCCACACAGTAGTACTGTCTCCAGTATTACTACTATTAAACTGTAGCAATCATATCTTCAATATTTTCAGCCGGGGGCTCTTCTTCTGCAATAGGATCTTCAGGAGGTCCTTTACACAGCACAAGCTTCCGAATGTTTACTGTCTCACGTACATTGTCACTTCTTTGCAACACCACAGTCCCATTGGTGTTGATTTCCACTATGGGATAAGGACCATGTAGTCTTTGGGACAGCTTGYCTGGTTCGTAGTGTTTCATATAGGCTTGCTGTCCAACCTGATACTTAAAGGGTATTCGCCTAGCATTTTCTCTCCTAAGGTTCTCATCGATTTGGTGTTGTCTCTTATCTCTGATAAGTTTCAAATCAGCAATGAGTGGGATATCCATCACCATATCACGGTTGAAAACAAGAGCTCCTGGTGATGTCTTCACCGCTGCATTCACTGCGCACCTGGTAGCATGCATAGCTGAAGCAAGGGCATTGTCGATAATCTGATCTTCATCAAATTCAGCTTCTTCAAGTGACTTGCTTGTATGAAGGGTCGCT